GTATCACCATGAGTAAATGTTCCAACACTTTGAATAAAACACCCTTTTAACAAGGGTAGTATTTATACAAAAGTGAACTGTAGAGAAAAAAACCAATGAAGACCCTTGCTAAAAGGGAAAACCCCACATTGACCCATGACTCATGCAGCCATGACCCAACACCTTTCTGGAAATAATGTGCCTGAATCCATTACAAATATCAAATAAATATTGAGTAATGGGTAATGGTATATCTCTGTTTGAATACCCTATCACCCTTTTACCAAGGGCTGACACAACACATCATGCAAAACAAACTATTGGCATTTAACCCCAGTGACCCACCCCATTTAACACCAGTGGCCCACCACATTTTTTCACACCTACTTTGTTCTTGCACCTCAACCCTTTTAACAAGGGGAAATTGTGCTTGGAAAACAAAAACAGCTAAGGCTCAACCCTTTTATCAAGGGGAGCTAGCTAGAGGCTCAACCCTTTTATCAAGGGGAGCTAGCTAGAGGCTCAACCCTTTTATCAAGGGGAGCTAAAAACTCAACCCTTTTATCAAGGGGAGCTGTAAGCCAAGAAGGCATCCACAGCATCACCAAATGTTTGGTACCTGGGAAACCTGCAGTCCCTGTTGCTTCTGGCTGCAACCACATAGACCCAGATACCTTTCTCTGAGCACTCCTCAATGATGTCCATCTGGTCCTCAAAGATGATGTCATGGCCCTTCCAAAGCATCCAGTCAGCCTTGCCACCTTCCCCCTTCCTTTCTCTGGTGAAGTTGATGGAGTCAAAGGGGAAGTGCAGCTGCTGGGCAAGTCTCCTCACATCCTTCTCCCTGTTGTAGCCACAGAAGCTGAGGAGATGCACTCTGTAATTTTCTCTTTGCAGCCTGAAGAGTGCATCCTTGTTTTCATCAGGGACATTGTGTTCAACAAACAGTGTCCCATACCAATCCACAACCACATCACCCTTTGGCTTGTTTGGGTTTTCTTTCAGCTTCCATTGCAAGTGGCCAGTATTTTCCCATTTCCTTGCTCTTTCATCAAGGGAACTGCTTCTGTCCCTTTTATCAAGGGTGCTGCTGCAAGCCTGTGCTTTCTTTGGAGGTGTTGTGCTGCTTGAGCTCTTTGAGCTGTCACTGTCTTCACTGCTGGAGCTGTTCTCTTCTACAACTTTTTTGCCAATTTTGCTGTCTTTGTCCTTGTTTGGCAGTTCCCTTTTAACAAGGGATGCAGATTTAGCTTTTGGCTTTCCTGGTGCTGTTGTCTCCTCTTTGCTGTGGCTGCTGCTTCTGTCCCAGTCAGCACTTTCCACAGATTGGTCACTGCTGTTTGCTTCATCTTTTTTCTGTTGTGCAGGACTGGGGCCAAATGTAAGGCCTTGCTCCTCCACCTTTATCTCTTTCTGTTTTGGTGGATCCTGCACTGGTTGCTCCTTCCTTTTGGGTTGCTCTTGCTTGTTCCTCCTGGGGGTCATTTGATCTTTCCCAGACCCCTTGCCTTTTCCTTTCTCCTCTGCCTTCTTTTTCTTTGCCTCCTCCTCTGCCATTTTAGCAATGGCATCCCTTTCAAACTCTGATTGTTTGTCCCACTTCACCATGGCCCTTTGTTCACCTTTCTCTTTGAACTTCTCTTGCCTTGATCTGCTGCAAGTGCCTGCTCCTGTGGGCCTTCCTTTGTTGTTCCATGGCATCCCTTTTATCAAGGGGACAAGATGCCCAGCCCTTTTAACAAGGGTAGGATGAAGACCCTTTTGGCCTGGGCAAAACTGAATGCCCTTTTAACAAGGGCAGCAATACCTAGTCGAATTGATGCTTTAAACAGCTGCAGATGGAGAGGTTGCCAAACTTGTGCATGGGACCTGGGACCTGGGTGTGGGTGGTGCTGTGGCAAACCATATAGAAAAAACAGTGCATGCATTACAGTAATGGCACCTGCAGATGATGTAGATTTACAATTTCATGGTCTGTTAACATGAAATCTGAAATTAACACATAAAAAAAACAAACATATTATTGTTATCTTTTGGTACCCCTTGTTTTAATTGTGTCTATACCCCCTTCTTTTAAACATCAAACCAATTAAAAATGACACATGCACATGTTGACTGAAAACATATGGTAAAGATACAAATGGTACCATGCATGCAAGCATGTTCAGATACACACATGCAAACTGCAAGTGGGTATGTATATATATATTGTTTATAGTATGTGTGTGGTGGCCGTCCAAACCCTGGGCATTGTGTGGTGCCCCAAACTTCCTTTCACCAGCCCCTGGGCCCTCTTCAAGGCTACATTTTTTAACAACCAAACCTGATCCAAGGCTTTTGTAGCCAGAGTGGTCCCAGCAGCAGCAGCAGCTTTAGCCTTTTAGCAAGGCCACTGTGCCCTTTCAGCAAAGTTGCTGCCCCAAAAACTAAAGTGCCAAAAAACCTTTTAGCAAGGGTAGCTAGCTTATATCTTTTGAACAGATGTTGGCAAGAAACCCCTTTCAACAAGGGAAATCTACCATCCATTCTTTGAAACTGCAGTGCAACTATAGTTCCCTTTCATCAAGGGAAGTTGGCATACAGTTCTTGTCTCAGCTCCAGGGCTTCTTCTTTAGTAATGTGGTCCTCTTCCAATCTTTCTTTGATTTTCTGCAAAATTTCTTTGTATTTGGGGTGCTTGTGTTTTGTGGTTTCCACAATCAGATGTTTCTTACCATTTGGCTCTGTGGTCCCAGTGATGTAAGCTCTCCATGGTGCCTTAGAAGTTGTGGTTACCAAAAGTTTGGTCCAAGCTTTTCTTGGGTAGGAGGCAGGCACCTTCCCTTTTATCAAGGGCTTTTTCTTGCTGGAGGAGGGTTCCCCTTTCTTGCTGGAGGACTTCCCTTTTACCAAGGGTGTTTTGTCCTTACTGCTTGTTGCTGTTTTTTCTTTCTTCTTCACTTTCTTGGCAGCTGGCTTTTTGGCAGAGCCCTTTCCAATCCCCAAAGCATCCCTGAGACTGGCATTTCCTTCAGGTGCAACTTCTTGCCAAGCAAGGCTGCCTGGTCTTCTCCTCTTGAAGGAAGGCCCTGGCAGCCCTCTGACAGTTTCACCTGGTTCTTCCCCTTTTACCAAGGGGGCTTCAGCTTCACTTGGTTCTTTGGCAGGGGTTGCCAAGGCTTTGGGGAAACCATTGCTGTCCACAGAAACTTCTGAAATGTTCTTTTTCAGCTTTCTTCCTCTGCTTCCCTTTCAACAAGGGGCAGCTCCATTTGCTGTTGGCCCTTTCTCTCTACCAGTGCAAGGGTATCTTGCAATTTCAAGAAGTCTGGCCCTGTGAGCTTGGAAGCACATGCCCTCAGATCTGCTGATGCTGCCAGTCTTCTCATGTGGAAGAGAAGCTCTGTGATTCTTTCCACTCGAATCCCCACCCAGGTCTCACCATTATACTTGCTGTCATTGAGGGAAGGGTTCTGGAGCAGAGCTTGGAAAACACCTTGTCTCAAGCTGCTTCCATGGATCTCACAAGTGGGCCCCAATGCAAGTAACCCTTTCAGCAAGGGCAAGCAGTGCACCAGCCCTTTAGGCTGAGCAGCCTGGGATTGGGACACTTGTTCATAGATTCCCAGATTTTGCAACAACTCACTGTTTTCTGAGAAGCACTGCAAGAGCAGGTCTGCATCTACTTGTGGCTTCGGTGTGTGCCTTGCACCACCTTTTCCAAAAGACATGCCCTTTCAACAAGGGAAAATACACCTTTCAACAAGGGACATGGAAAACACTTGAGCAAAGAAAGCTCTGGAAGCAGCTCCTTTGAAATCAATAGCTTTGTCAAATGGCAAATCAATAGAAAACCCAATTTTTCAATCAATAAACTTGCCAAAATCAAGTGAAAATGAAATTATTGAAAAAATCAATTAAACCGATCCAAATCAATATCAATATAATTTGCTATGATCTTATTGATTTGAATCAATAGCCGATGCTCAGGGCTGGAATCAAAAGATCAGACCATAAGACCAGAATTTGGGCTCTCCACAAATGCGGGGGGCCGGTGAGCATCACCTGTCGTGCTTGAAGAGATCTGGGGATGTTTACATGATGCAGGTACCATGTGCGCACTAACAACCCTTGCACGATTCGAACTGGATTGGTTACAAATTCCCTCGGCAAGTTTACCATCATCTGTTGAGCAAAAAGTGGTAACCGTATAGGTGATTCAGCACGATTTGAAGCCGGTGCCGCAGCATTGGCATCACTAGAGCTAGCGGCTGAATCAGATCGTGCTGCACCTGTGTCACCAGCTGGGCATGAAACGAATTGGAAATCAGTGGTAATCGCAAGCCTGTCAGCTGTACCCGCACTGATCGACGCTGCTTCTTCGAACTGCGGATTTTCAGCGGTAGTTGGGCTGGCAGGATGCAAATCTGAATAAGTCCATGGCCTATCGGAAGTGAAAATCTTCGTAAACAAATCCAATGAGGCATTCTGGGAACAACTTCCAACAGGGATCAACACGGCCTTACAAAAAGACAGCGGATCGCAACTGAGGGAAGGGCATGCAAACAATTTGACATTTGTTGGGCGGTAGGTCAAGAAGGCACTGAAAAGCTCTGCAATGGGACATCCCAAATCACGTACCACATCAAAATCGGATAAGGAAAGCGAAGTACCTGAGCTAGTGCGTTCATTCGACCATGGTTTGCACATGTGTGGCATCTCATCGGCCGACACATTCACTTGATGCATTTGAATTGAGTCCTCCTCACCTATAAGAACATCAACTTGGGAACAAAATCGAACAGAAAGGCAACCCACAGCCTTCTTACGATAAGTGATGCGCTGACAGGGGGAGTGAGAAGTGGACTGTCCAAACTGCATTGCAAGTTCAGTAGCTCGATGTAGGGCATCCCACTCAGAGCAAAACGACTGATCATGTACAATGGAATGGTTCCACTTGGGGAGGATATTGGGGCTTTCCGGCAAAATGCCTGCAACAGGCGGCCACTGGATTGCGTACTTTGAAGTCACACAGATCCGGCCTAGGGAAAAGACACATCCCCATCTCCGGAAGCAGCTCCACCATTTGCTGGTGCCGGGGGGTCGATTCGCTGTCTTTTGTTTGCCTGTTGTTCTGCCAACATCATCTCGTCGGCATTTGCACTCAATGTTTTGAGGCTCTCCCCCAGGTGCTGGAGGCTGTCTGTGATTTTCTGCGCGCTTGAGTTGGCAGCCTCCTTCGATTCTTTGGACTCCTCCTCTTCGTCGCTGACCGTCGTGATGTCCTGTGGATCTGACTGGTCCGACTTCTGAAGAAGAGACTTTGAAACTGCAAGATTGGTACGAGCAGTCTCTAAAGCTGCACGGGCTGCTGCCACTCTGTCGGACAGAGTTGCCTCCTGCTGCTGAAACTGTTGGGAATAGGCTTGCCACTTGGATACCTGCTCCACCAAAAAGGTTCGCCAGGAGGAATGAAGACTCAAACGGGCTGCATTTGCATGCTGAAGTTCTGTCCTGGCACGCCCCTATGCATTGACCTGTTTGTGCAAGGACTTGATTGCCACTTCCCCTTCCTTGATTTTGGTCTCTTTCAACTCCTTTTGTATGTCTGGGTGAAGGCCATCTGGGTGTTTCTCCAACAAAGCATACATTGTTTTGAGCTTTGTCTCTGCCGCAGATGCTGCTGCCGTAGCTGCTGCTGTGGCATGCTCTGTAGGCGCATTCCCAGTAGGTAGTGGCGGAGGTGGAGCCATTAACCACGGTGCCTCCTGGTAGGTTGGCAAAACTGCCGGAGGTCCTTGAGTCGCACCATGGTCGGCAGAGGACTGAAATTGGATCGGCATTTGTCCTCCCTTGGATTTGCCTCGTCCTTTGCCTTTGTTCTGCTTGGCTCGATTGGAAGCTGAGCGGGGCCTTGATGCCTGCCTGCGGGGTGACTTCACCCATTGGCCATGTGCTTCTGTATCGGCTTCGTGGGACCAATAGCGATTCTGGCGAGGGGTGCCAGACCGTTGGTTCCATTTGGTGGAACTGTTGGATTGGCCCGATTGCTTCTTTGGCTGCTTTGAATGGGGCACACCTGATGTCCAGTGCATTGCACAAAGCGGACAATGTACCGCCCGCTTGCCGTTCAGGCTGCCGCATTGGCAACGCCACGGGTAGCTTTGTTCTTGCCGCGACATTGCTGCTCGAATTTCTCGGCGAATAACTGCCAAGAACTTGGGGTCCCGAGAGTGATGTGTTGAAAGCTTTCGCAGAATACCCTGAAGACCAAACAGTGTCGGGGGCCGAATCTTCAGCCTGTGCAAATACCAGCTGAAGCGTGCCTGTGATCGCAATCGACGAGTCCTTCTTCGGGATGCTGATGTAAGAAAAGCCAACTTGACACAGGTACAACCAAATTGCCAGTAGGTACATCAACAAAGAAAATAAAGGAGCCAAAGATGAATTGAATTGAGAATTGTAAAACCTTCAGGTGCTATCGCCCACCTGCAGAAGCGTGGATGTCCAGGCACTGTAAGTAGTGAGAAAAAAGCAATCACCCAAACCAGTGGAGGAAAAATCCAAAATCCCAAATGTTATCGCACACTTGAAGCGTAGAATCCAATGACCGAACCTTGCAAGACACGTCAATTGCAATAGCCAAAAGGATATATCGAATTGAAAAGGCTTTCCAGATAAAAACCAGAAGCCCGCGATGGCAGGAAATCGCTAAGGTTAGGTAGCGGGGGGCACCCTAAGCACTGGCGCCAACCTCGAACCAAACGCTTTTTCGGATGACATCCCATATATGAAATGGAACAATAAAATTCATGTTCCAAACCACCAACCAGCTTGAATTTACCAAGACACATAACTAAAAAATCCAAGAAACAGCACCATCTGCTGCAGTTCTGCCGCATCGATTGCTCCAGCAACCAGCAGTTCCGATGCAGTCCAGCGCCTTGGAAATGGTTCAACAACTGCCACAAGAAGGGGGGAATGGGCGGAATGGTTTACTGACTAAGTCGTCCAAAGTCATCTAAAGTAATCTAAAGTCATCTAAAGTCACCAAAGTCATCTAAAGTCACTAAAGTTTAAGTCATCTAAAGTCATCCAAAAGTTACGGAGACCTCTTGAATTTGGGGCAACTTGTTGACCAATCACGGAAATATTCAACGGTTTCCAGTGGCATTGGATTCTTGGTTTCACATTAAGCTCCGATAATCAAACATGGCGTGCTTGAAAACCGTCCATTCAGAGGTCGATGGTCTGTAGTTTTCCATTAAAAAACACCATTTTATAAGGGATCATCCCATGAAATCCCATATTTTCCGCTGTTTTTCCCTTAAAAACCTCCATATTTTACACCAGGGAATTCCCAGGGTAGCCGCTGATCACCGCTCATCCAAGGCGCCGCAAATTGAAGAGGATCACATCGCGATGTAAGTTCGGCGGCAACTTGGCCTCTGGGCGGGTGCGATCGGATTGGGACTGACTCAGGGACTGACTCAAAGGGACTGACTCAGGGACTGACTCAAAAAAGGCCCTGATGGAGTTCGTCAATGGGAAGAATCATCCCATATATGAAATGGAACATAAAATTAATGTTTGGTCATATTACTGTGGTTATATCATATATATATATATATCCTTAGTAGGTATCATCCCATATTGAAAAAGATGTTTGAAACCACCAAACATAGAAAAAGAGGTGGAAAAGCCATGGATGATCTCCCCTTCGGATTTCAGGATCTCCTTTCATGGTGGGATTTTCCATGGGATTTTCCACATCGAAGCTGTGGGAAAATCCCAAAAGGGGTGAAGTCTCACTGCGGTGCTGGGGACCGAACTTCTGGGAATCGCCAAGTTGCTTTAGGTCACTATAACATACTATAACTCACTAACATAACTAGGATTTATCTGGTTGGTGGTTGACCTACCATTGTGGTTAATATATGGTTAATATATGGTTAATGATGGTTAATAATAATATTCTGGTTGGCGGTTTTTCGCCACCCCTCTGAAAAATATGAGTTGGTGAAAGTCAGTTGGGATGATGACATTCTATTCCCAACTGAATGGAAACATTACATTAATGTTCCAAACCACCAACCACTTATGGTGTATATAGTTAATGAATGTTAATGAGTGTTATCAAATCCTAAACCAACTTATAATTACGGGGGACCACCTCGTACTCATGGAAATATCCATAAATTCCGATGGGCCCAATCATATCCGGGCCAAAAAGTAAGATATTCAAGTACTGAAGGACCAAGTACCTCCATCCACAATTTCATGCGAACACGCCATATCATTCGAAAATGTTTGGAGAATCGCTCTCACATTGCAACATGGGATAGCATGGGTATGGACAGATGTTTTCTGGCGGCCTGTTTACATTAATATTGTCAATGTTCTATTGAACATAGTTTATAAGATAATTTTTATAATGATTCACATTGCCAATCAAATAATGAACCAACTTATAATATTTTACCTACCCATTCTATAGCGATGTTGTGAACATCCAGCCATTTCCACATCTGCCCACCCAGGGTCCCAGGGTCCCTAGCCTTCATGAGGGCCATTTGCATGGGAGAATAGACCAGCCCTAGGTCCACACCAGGAATGAAAAAGTATCCTTAGGGCGGATGCAATTTCCAGACCTCCGATGGGATCCCAGGAATTTCATACTATCCTCTGGTAAACATACAAGAAGCTATTGAACATGGCCATTGATAGTGGATTTTCCCAGTAAAAATGGTGATGTTCCATAGCAAACTGTTAAATTACCAGAGGGTACTCCCATAACGAGGAATGGGAGTAGTAAGGTTCAGCCTGGCTGGTCCCAATGTCAATGAAGCTATGCAACCAAGATCAACCAAGACTGGGTAGCTTGATTCAGAGTCAGTCGACACAACTTGACCAAGACAACTTGAGGAAAGCAGAAGTGCTTAGCGTGCCCGTGCCTGCAGACAGAAACATCTTTTTTAAAGGAGGCGTTCAAATTTGGAACAAAGGGCATGTGATTGCCTAATATGATTGGTGGTTTTAACCATCACAAAGATATGCTCGTCATCTCAAGCAATTATCCCTTTTTTTTGCGTGGTTGAACAAACATACATATTCTGTTTTAGCCACCAAGCAGTAATGTTTTGGCAACACTGTGGAGGATCGTCTCACGAACCGTAAGTGGTGAGGAAAACCCTGGTTGGAAAGTCGCCTAAAATAAGTTATCCATGGTTAATCCCATGTGAGGCTTTCCATAGTCATGGGCCATGGGGTTACCCCCAAGCTCGCTGGATGGTTTCCCAAATGGAAAATCCATCTATAAATGGATGAGAACTGGGGGTACCCCCATTTCAGGAAACCTCTATGTCTAAATGATTAAATGGGTGATAACTATAGTTGCTAACCAGTTCCTACAGAATGATCCCCCAGGACCTGCTAAAACTAGTTGCATTTTTTGCATGTTTGGGAGCGATCTGAATCGATCTGACATGGCTTTGCCTAAGATGAACATTTTGGCAGAGACATTAGGCATGATGATGTTTATGAAGAATTGGCACCAGCAAGTTAATTACTGCAAAATACTGCAAACACTAAAAAAAAAACGCGTTCCCACAGGCCCCCGCTCTCAAAATAAGACATCGTGTAAGATGATACTACCGACCAAACAATTTTGTCTGAGATACTGAAACATGGAGATAAGTATGGAAATGTGCAACAAGTCAGTTTCCCATTTGCCGCCAGGAAAGGCGAAACAACAATGAACCAAAGGTTATGCTCCACTTAGAGAAGTTGGTTCAAAAAAGCCCCTAAAATTCGATTGTTGATCAGTAAACTGCCCAAGAATGGGGGTATCCCATGGTATCCCCCATAGAAGAAACCCACCATGATCCCACAAGATGCCAAAACCTACAGCCCAGCGCAAGATGAAAATGCCATGATCATCGCGTTTTCACCGAGATGCTCCATGAACCATTGGGGCACTGTGGTAAATGAATGTAAAAAGAACAACTGGATATTCACATCCTGAACATTTCGGACATTTCAAGCATTTTCTTCCACTGGATTTGGGGCTAGCCAACCCCATCTGTTTTGGAAAAATCCAACCCAAATGATGCGAAAACTTCGAAAAACACCTGGGGTTTGGCCAGGGAACCACTATCACTGGCCATGACCCTGAAATCAAAAGCCAAGCCCATCATGCCACCAGCTGCGCACCAGTGGCCCTTGAAGGCTGCCACCGTTGGTAGAGGGAAGCAACAAACCCTGCGCAGCTGGGGCTTTGAGCCGGGAACTAAGGAGGCCAACTGGGGCTCCTTGATTTACCAAAGGGTCAACATTTGTGAAGATGTTGAAACCACCCACAAGCCTTGCTTGGAAGCCTTGCTTGGGAACTCCAGTAAATGGATCACTAACCAAACAAACAGCTATATGATCCGCCGGAACTCAGGTTTCTACCGGAATCATTGGAACATGTGACCCCAATTCTTACCGACCATCGATGGCCAATGCTCCCTTCATAACCTCCACCAGCCCCGGCCTGGCCATCAGTTGATTGGTGTCCCTCTGCAGTTTGGACTGCTCCTCGTTGGAGCAACTGTCCAAATAGCGTAGATCCATGCCATTGGACCAATAGCGACCTGGCACGGAGGGAAGCAACTGATGGCTGGGAAGGGAAGCCTGGGGAGAATATCATGACTTTATGGACTGACAAACAATCGAATGTTTAGATGGTTAGCACATTTACTGTAACCACTGATAGTAAAAGATTAAAGCATTAAAGTATGGAACCAAGGGTGACCCAGTGGAGAAGACCTTGCATTCATCTTTGATGGTACCTTGATGGCAGAAAAACCAGAACGGGGCTGATAGGCTGATAGGCCCATCTATTTTGCCCTCAGATGATGTTCCCCATTCCTTTCGCCCTTGGATCCGCTTAACACATGTCAGAAGGCTCTTGGAAGACCACTGAAAGACTTGGGACGAGATTCATCTTGAAATGTTCCACCAAGGTAATCTTTCAGCTTTCTAAAGCTTTCCAAAGCTGTCTAAAGCTTTCTAAAGCTTTCTAAAGCTACTGTGGATGGGCCAGCGAAATCCTGCACCACCAAGTTGGGATGGTTGAAACCCTATAAATACTGGGATAAACCATCAACTGGTGCAGGATTTCGCTGGCCCATCCACAGTATGTAGATCATCTTTTTCCTCAATGTGATGCACCCAGCAGCGCCTTCATTGCTGACTACCAGAGCCTGAAAAGGTCAGGAGGTTGAACCCCTGCGCCTCTCATCTTCCCCCAGGTGCAGAAGTTCGGCGTTTTTTTTTCCAAATGATGATCTGCTGACCCAATATCTTACCTAGGCCTTCGTATATAACGGAACTGCTAAGTTGAAAATTTCGCATTTCCTCAAATGCAAAGTTCAACTTTGACATTGGAAGGTCGGGGTGATATGCAAAACATGGTCAAGTTACATGGAATGGTTGGATGGGCCATCCAACCCAGTTACCCAGTTTTTGTTTGGATTGACCACCCCCAATACAATCTAATACACACATATATATATATATATTCCAGGGTTTGACCGAGGCACATATGTAAAACATGACCGCACGACATGCTTGCAACACCTTCCGCACCACCATATCCATGGCGTTCATGCACCAAATTTTCTGATTTCACCCGTTTTTTTTACCAAGTAAAGAGGTCTGGATCAAACTTGTGTATGCCACAAAATCAATGGCCATTCCAGGATCCTAAATTGGAGGTACCTACCATATATAAGGCCTATTTTTCAGGCCTATGTAAGGGAATATCCCAACAAAATATGGCCTTATATGGTACAGTACCTCCATTTTAGGATCCTGGAATTCCCATTGACAAAATCTGTGTAAATTAAACATGTCACAAAACAAGAAGCCTGAATTGAGGAAATTAGGAAAGATCTCCAGGAAACTAGGATGTCCAAAATTCTATCATCATGCAAAATTGGGTTTCTTGTTGATTTTCCATATGTAAGGGTTGTAGATTTGGCAATTTCAGATGCTCACTATTCATCGATATTGATCGATAAATTGCACAACTACATACAATTACCAATTTCCTGATAGTTAATGATTATTGCATACACAATAATTACCACATTCCTGACTAATTATCTAAAACTATCGAACATCTAATGACTATTACATACTATTACTAGATATTACCAATCAGATTGCCACATTCCTGACTAATTATTGAACATTTCATGACTATTACCCAAAGATTCATAGAATGTGAGGCCCCCAAGATAGCTAAGTTGGTGAACATAACTCCAATAACTATGGTTTATGGCACGCAAATAACTAGATATTACCCATTGCCCCGTTTCTTTTGTGCCTATCCTTTCTCTGTCATGGTGAATTCGGCCCAAACCTGGGACACCAACCTCGCTGCCGGCCCAGCAACTTCAGCCGTGGAATCCGCTTCCACCGCATCCAACGCGCTGGAAAAATCTGAGACCAAGACCTCGATATGCTCCATGTTGTATATGGTGTAACAAATGGGTCCCATCAAGAAATACCCCCTTTATGTTAGCATATATATACCAGCAATGGTAACATGGATCCCATCAATATACCCCAAATGTATCCAAATGTTCGCATATATACCAGCACCATGGATCCTATATAGGGTATAGACATGAGAAATTCAATTGAAGACATATATTGAAGTTAAACATATCTGGTTGGTGGTATACCTACCCCTCTGAAAAATGATGGAGTTCTTCACTTGGGATGATGACATTCGCAACTAAATGGAAAGTCATAAAATTCCATGGTTCCAAACCACCAACCAGATATTGAATGTAGTTCAATGGCTTGGTTTCGGGCAAAAAAAACATGAACATCGACTGGAAACCAGTGGCCGTGACTCCCCAGAACATCGAGTTTTTTGAGTTTTTAAGTTCTATTGCACATGTCTCTTGGATTAACATTTGCTAAGGGTTTACACCACTTAGTGGGTGAATTACATGATTGATGCGTCAAAAAATAACTTATAGGGGGGAACATATGGTTTTTGATACATCAAAAGAAGGCTGATGGGATTGCCAACTGCAAAACAATTTTTGGGGAACTGCAGGACCGCAATGCCAAATGCATCCAACAAATTGGGACCGTGCTGTAAGAAGAAAGGATGATTTGGATAAGAGGCTTCCAAATCAACAGCGAACCATAGGCTTCCACTACAGCCGGAAACTCAGGTGGAAAGACACATGAAACCACCCAACGATGATTTCGGGCGCCAATGATTACCCTCCGGTAAACGTTTACATAGCTATTGAAAATGGTGATTGTGAAGTTCGTGGATTTACCCATTAATAGCATGGTGATTTTCCATCCTTTTTTGTGTGTTTACCAGAGGGTAGTTCCCAGTTTGCGAACTGGCAGTGGCCCATGTAGTTCGATAATAAAACCCGTTGAAATGATGACCAGACCAGTTCGCAAAGTGTCAGATTACTGGAGGATGTATGATTATATATGGTTGGCTGCATTTAAGACTGTCAAATTTTTAATGCACCTCAGTATATATGTATAATGATGTATACATTCCAATAATTCATTGGAAAATCATCCATTAGAATTCAGACATATTATCAATGGGAATTTCAGGATCCTAAAATGGAGGTACTGTACCATATAAGGCCATATTTTGTGGGGATATTCCCTTACATAGCCCTTATATATGGTAGGTACCTCCAATAAATCGGTTCCTGAAATGGCCATTGATATTATATAAAATCCAATCTAATTCGTGGATTTCCCCCCATTAGATGTCCATTTTTTTGTTGGTGATAGTTGAGGCCTTTTTTTTGGATCCAAATGCTACAGTTATGGTCCGCAATACCTGTTATAAGTACGAACAAAACCCCACGTATGGAATGTTGAATCCCATTTATAACATGTTTATAACCAGTTATAATCAGTTGTAACCATTTATAATTAACCACTTACAACCACTATGAAAACATCTATTAAACGGCCATAAGTGTAGTTACTACAGTATGACAACCTCGAATGGCAAGCTCCAAGGCTTCGGCTTCGGCACGACGACGACCAAACCGAGGACCGAGGCTCAGGGTTCCAACGATGTTCCAACCGGAGAGTTCCCCAAGACCAGCTGCCTTCCAATGCTTTGAGGGTCAGCAGTGCCACTCCATTTCCTTAGAACTGTCAATGGCCATTTCAGGAACAGATTTATTGGAGGTACCTACCATATATAAGGCCTATGTAAGGCCTATGTAAGGGGATATCCCCACAAAATATAGCCTTATATGGTACAGCACCTCCATTTTAGGATCCTGAAATTACCATTGAAACTGGGCCCATTGGGTTGGTGAAAAAACCGCCATTTCCTCAGCTGCTTTTGGAGGCTGGAAAAAACAAGCCGTTCAACACAGTGTTTGGAAAAAACATGTGGAAGCTGGTTCTTGTTGTTTTTGGGGGGCTTACCGACCATGTTCTATCCTCTATATATAATATATATATATAAATATTATATATATATGTCCTCTATATATATATATATGTCCTATATATATATATATGTGTGTGTGTGTATGTATGTGTATTATATCCATATATAATTTTGCCATCCTGTAATCAGACACGACAATGGACAAGTCCATCTAGCTCGAGGATTTCCCATTGCCAAATATGTTTGATGACACCAGAGGGTACAAATATGGACAACTTACCATGAATCTAGAATATCTAGATCACTTTCCGAGTTTCCACCTGGATTTTCCACCTGGATTTTTGTGAGGCCATAAAATAACCAGGAAAAAACCCTCAGATGTCACTTGGGCCGCCTCACTAATCTCGAGGTGCACGTCCCCAAAGTCCGTGCCGGACATCGAACAGAAGCAACGCCCGACTTTAGGAAACGGCCTGGAAGATTTGTGAAAAAAAATCACACCCCAAAATATGGATAATTTAGATCGGTAGATATTGATCTTGTCCGATATTGTCGTATTTTTTTGGAGATGGATATTGATGATTCAAACTGAGACTTTTGTACTTGATGGATATTCAAACATTGACAAATCATCCAAATGTTGTATTTTGGAGATGGATATTGATGATGGAAAGTAATATCTATATTGATGATTTGAACATTTGTTCCATGAGACTTTTGATACAGTGATTTTCTTCAGCCCCAACTGGGGATGCAAAAAAAAAACCGACAGATTCCAAACATACCCTCTGGTAATGACTAACAGTTTGCTATTGAAAATGGTCATTTATTTATAGTTGATTTATCCATTAAACATGATGATGTTCCATAGTTTTTTGTAGGTTTACCAGGCCGGGTAACCTTTTTTGAACCACCTCTGTGAAGAAATTTTGACAGCACGGTGACTTGAGCCGATTGGAGCCGATTGGAGCCACGGAGCAAGCTGGACATGGCAAGATCTCAAGATCTGGACATGGCAAGCACTGTGAGTTTCACGCATCTCTTGGATTTTTTTGCGATTAATAATCACAATGGATTGTAAAATGATAAATATATGATTGTATGGTATTTTAATGGGATTTAATGGGATATATGATGGTTACCCTCTGGTAAACGTTTACATTTTGCTATGGCATGGGAAATCACCATGCTATTAATGGGTAAATCCACGAACGAAATGACCATGTTCAATAGTTTTTTGTATGTTTACCAGAGGGTAAATAAAACAGATTCCCTATAAATTCCAAGTAGTGTGGTAAAGCCAGTAATAAACCATCCCCTAAGTCACCATTTTTATGGTTGGTGTTTTTAACCATCCCCAAATGTTAGGTTTATTTATGGCACTGGGTTGCCATCATTCGCGGATTGTCCATTGTGAAAACTACACATTACCGACTTATCGACTCAACAAAGCAGGTTCTTTGGATTTCAGAAACTGTGCATGAGGCATCAGGCAGCCAATCTTCTTCCGGAGCTTCAACGCACTCAACGCCATCCCGGGTCAGTGTTGTTACTGTCGTCCTTAGGTGTGACATCCACCAGGGCGGGTGATTCTATGGATCAACGCGTTGCGGCGTTGCCTAAGGATCTGACCCAGTCATAAACGTTTTGGCACACGATGCATCCATATCCTGGACCGTGGAAAAGCTGAAATCAACTCTGACTTTGTTTCCACATCCCAGGCATTCTGAGTTGCTGTGCAACAACCGCAAATCAAAGAAATCAAGCCTTCCCAACATACCACATCAAAATGTGTGTGTGTGTGGTAATTATCCTCGAGTAGATAGAATATGAAAATGTGAAAACAAAACTCATTAAGATGGGAACATGTTATATTTATAATTGAGAACCGCATCTTCATCCACAGTCTATCAGGATGAAAATATATGAAATTCCTCCAGCTTTGCTAAAAGCTGCTAACATGTGCCCAAAAAACGTTTTGGAACCTCATAACTAATAAACATATAGGAATATCACAGTATATCACTAAATCCATCGGGGAAATCTCCATGAACATCCAATAAATCTCATGAAACACAACAAAAACCCATCCAACATTTAAAACATCACAAGTTTCCCAGTAGTTCCACGCCCAGAAAAACGCCCAACGATCAACAACGACCAGGCGCCCCCGGCTTTGGTGCAGTCGCTGCAGAAGAATGTCTTGCATCTCCTGTTCGAAGCGAAGGTCCTGAACCGCGGCGGACTTTCACTGGAGTCCGCCAAAAGGGAGACCCGAGGGAGGAAACACATTGGAGACGCACCATGGGAAAACCATGGATCAAATGGAGAAAAAAAACAAAAAACACCATGGGAACCATTGCAAAAACTGAAACAATTGAAAATCTAACACGGAAAAAATTGGGAGAAAAAAACATCGCCGCAAACTTGCTCTTGGAGTTTTGAAGAAGAACGCTGGGATATGCCCAAAATCTAGGTCTCAACCTGTCCTTGAACCAGTTGTGTCTCACCACCAAGCCCAGGGGAGCTGTGAAGAGCTGGCTGCTGGCCTAATTTTGCGATTCAAACCGGTCTTTTTCCCAGACCTTATCCTCATTGGATTGGTTTAAGGGAAAATCTACAGGAAACCATGGTTTTTACCATCAAATATAAGGCTTTCCTGTAAATTTTCCCATCATCCAATTCTATGATATCCCTGAAATCAGCGTGGATGTGTGAATTTCAAAACCCCAAAATGGAGGTAATGTACTATGTAAGGCAATATTTGTTTGGTGATATTCCCTGAAATTTAGCCCTTACATATAGGCCTTATATATGGTAGAAACATCCAAAAAATTGGTTCCTGAAAAGGGATCCCCTTATATCAACCAAGGTATGAGGGTTATCATTTACTATGACAGCTTTTGGGGATCAGCCAAAGTGAGGCTTCAGCACATGAAACTATGGTTCTTAGTTGTTCTTAGTCTTGGTTGATCTGTTGATATAATGATGGCTCCTGAAAGGGTGTTCCCTTTATCAGTCTTTATCTGATTCTGGAACCAAGCTGAATAGCAATAACCGCTGGCAATTTAACATAGCTATTGAACATGGCTATTTGTAGTATAGTTGAGTTTATATATATATATGCATAATATATATATATTTATTTATTTATATTTATTTATTTATGTTTATTCATTTATAAATATCAAATTCTATTTATAGTTGATTTACCTATTAAATCATAGTGATTGTTCCATAGTTATGTTCGTTTACCAAAGGGTAGATGGGGGGTACGACTCGCACCTCGAACTCCTGGTTGATCCCTCATAGCTTCCTCCAAGGCCCCGGGCCAACACTGTGACCTGAAACCGATGGCATCCCATGGCCTTTTTCCACAGTTATGGCCGTTTAGCAATTATAAGTGGTTACAACTGGCTACAAATGAGATTATATACATTCCATATATCGGATTATAAATAGTTATAACATTTTATAACTGGTATTTTGGGCCTCAACTGGTTTTTCTCGTGGAAACTAAGACATCCAATACCCTACAGTGCCCTGCAGCGTCAAAGATGGCAATGGAAAATACCCACCACATTTAGATTACCCTCTGGTAAACTAACATAGCTATGGAAAATCACACTTGATATTTTTAATGGGTAAATCAACTATTATAAATGGGCCATTTTCAATAGCTATGTTAGTTTACCAGAGGGTATTATCATTGACTATCCCTCTAATTATCCCTCTAAATGCCGATTTACAGGACATTTCCCTGCCATGTTTGATTACCAGATGGTAAATCAAAGAAAGTACCCTCTTGGAAAATTGTCCATTTATAGTTGATTTACCCATTAAAAATGGTGATTTTCAATAGCTATGTTAAATAACCAAAGGGTATCCCAAGAAAGCTTCTTCCCCGCCAGGCTTCCCCCCATCCAGAAATTCCTCGGACAATCCCGCGCTGCTTTTTGACTGGTCCAGGGCACTGACTTCACGGCAGGGGTATAGATGGGTATCGTGAAAATTCCACCGGCAGCAAATCAGTAAATTTCAAGATGAGTCTGAAAATAGGTTGCCCCAAAGCCCAGACTTCAGTGGATAAAGACCCTGCAGTTCATCCTGGCAGAGGTGATGCTACATTTGAGGTTAACTCCAAAAATAAATGGCCGGGGGTTATTGATCCAGGGTTGATATCAATGGTCATTTCAGGAACCGATTGATTGGAGGTACCTACCATATATTTTTGGCCTATTTTTCAGGCCATTGATGATTTGGCTCATAATTTTCCCTAAGATTAAGATATTGATGTTTGGGAGCTCTACCTCATTGTCAGACCCATGTCATTGCTGTCAATGGATCTCCCACTCTGCTTGGAGGATCCAAATCGTGGTCAACAAGCCTGGCCATCGTATGTCCTCGATTCGTGGGCCATGGTTTTCCCATATAGAAATCCCAGATGCTCCATGTATGGAATATTTACCAACATGTAGGTGATTTTTGTGGTCAATGTAGGTAAATATTCCAGCACCATGGAGCATTGGTGGGAAATAGGTGAACTGACCCACTGGTGATCCAAGCTAAAACCAGTTGGCTTTCTTGGATCCTCCGCATCGAAGTGCTCTCGGAATCTTTGTCCGAGTTTTTGTCACAGGATCCCCTCCGCATCCCCGTTTTTTCGGCGGCCCGGTTTGGGTCAAATCTGTAGGGGCCAAGAGACGACCGATTAGGATCACTAAACTCATCATCTGATGAGTACCAAGATGGAGACAGCCAAACCACAAAAAACATGTCGGACATACCCAGAAATACCAGATAATACCAGCTCTTCTATGGGGTTTTGCACAATGGTTTCCATGGAATTTCATGGCTGACCCAGATTGGCAACATTTCTTCACCCTTCAAGCCTTCTTCAAGCCTTCTTCAAGCCTTCTTGAAGCCTCTGAAAAGAGTTCAGCTGAGATCCCCTGACTTTCTTTGAGCCAGGTCGAAGCCAGGAAAATTTCCTCTCCCTTCCCAACATCCAGGATCAACAAGCCTCGCTTGTTAAGGAAACTGAGGAATTCAATATTCAGTTCAAAAGCAAATGAACTATATCAAATCCATTTATGCTCAGTTCAAATCTATAATATTGAACAATACAACTGCTGTACCATTGAGTCAGGAAGGAGTAGCAATGATTGCGATAACTTTTCATGGCACCTCGGGTTTTTTCCCCAAGCTTTTGGGCTGCGGTGCCACCCGTCCCAACAAATGCGGAGGCTGTGAAGGTGCCCCGGGTGGCTGCCAGCTGTGCAACGGTGCAGCTGGCTGCGCGCAGTCGCCAGGGCGCGGTGCCGGCCGCAAGGGGTCGCTGCGGATGGCGAAACCCCTCACGGTGCAGTGCCAGCAGACCTGCAGCCATGACACCAATGGATTGCAGGGAAAGATGGCAGGAAAACCATAATTTTTTCACATGAAATAAGGGGATTTCCTGGAATGTTTCCCTTCAACTATAAGCCTTAAACCAACCCAATGAAGCAAGAAAAAGAGTCCGAAAACGAAGTAAAAACGTCAATGACTATCACCTTTTTCTAGGGCTTTAGTAGGTTTTCTTACGATGTCTATCTTTTCATGGGGGGTGCTATTGAGGAAACATCTTAGCTTGAAACAATGGTGTTCCCCGGAGATTTTCCCTCAAACAAATTCTGGGAAGGTTTGGGAAACGATGACTTTGAGAAGCATGCTTTATACACCAACTATCATTGATTCTAATCGAAAAAAAAACGATGGACTAGTGAACATGGTCATAGCGCACATGTGAGTACTGTCACCCCTTGATAAATCTAGGGTTGTTTCATTGAGTGTTCAATATTAGAAACAATTAGTAACAAATTACATACAATCAACACCATCAACATCAATATAATTTGACGACTGGAATTGATTGTAGCCTGGCTAATAGGGATTCCAGACTAAGGATTAGGACTACGGGACTGCGATAACCCCCATCACATTGGGACAATTCCATCATCAACCAACTGGGGGTTTTGAACACTGCTCAATTGTGGGGGCCGCCCAGTAACCCCTAATCAAGTAGCCAGGGTTAATGTATCCAGGGCTGACATTAGGTCCAACATGGTCCAACACTTAGGAACTCATGCGGTAAAAAGGCAACAGCGACCACATGACAGCAACTAGGGAATTCAAGGAACAAATCAAGCAAACCAATGGAAACAAAGGGTGGTGACTGTAGTTCCCCAAGATCAATTCCATCTTGCCAAATAGGAAAAGAAGTGCCTTTCTAACAGCGGGCCAGGAACAAACAGGATGAGCAACAGCAACAAGAAACCCACCAGAAACGCAACGATCGCTGCCCATAGATCCCCACGATCGCTGTTTGCTGGACAGGCGGGATAAGGATCGAAACCACACCAGCGGCACTGCAGATGTCTCCCATCGGCATAGCAGCCGAGGCCACCGCTTTTTTTACAACTTTCGTCCCAAACCTTGGAGCTTCTACAAGGGGCGCCAACAAAAATCACACAGATTCCCTATATCAATGGGAGATCTTCAGGATCCTAAAATGGAGGTACGTTAGTACCATATGTTTGTCCATATTTTGTGGGATATTCCCTTACATAGGCCTGAAAAATAGGCATTATATATGGTAGGTACCTCCAATTTAGGTTCCTAAAATGGCCATTGACTATAGATTCCCTATAGATTCCCTATAGATTCCCCAGTTCTGGTGGATTTCCCCGGGAAAAAATGCCCCAAAATCACCAAACAACCCCAGGCAACGTAGGGAGTGCTGGTTGGTGGCGCAGTGGAAAAATCGCATTGGCCCACCAGCCCCGGCCCTGATGGGCTCGCAGGGCTGTTCTCCTTCGAAAATGTTGGCTGACCATACGGGGCTCCAATCGATAAGGTGCCCTCCAGTAAACTAACAGTTTGCTGTGGAAAATGAGCCATTTAGTTCGGCTATAGATGATTTACCTATTCAAAATTTTAATTCGATGATTTACCTATATATTCAAAATGGTGATTTTCTATGGCTACGTTAGTTTACCAGAGGGTGATTGTAATAAAAAACATATCTAAACACCACTGGACCATGATGCAATATCACCTCACTGGCATCCAAAAATATCAGCAACATACCCATAGGATCCATGGTGCTGGTATATGCTAACATAAAGGGGGTATATTGATGGGATCCATGTTACCATATATATAGCAGCACCATGGATCCTATGGGATATGTCAAAGACCAAAATAGTGGACCACACAAAATTTGCCACTCCATGACTCTTGGTCTCCCAAAATCACTCTGATTATCCCCCGTAATGTCAAGCCAGGGACTTCATCATCATCTAGATTGATTCATCCCTACAACTGGTGATTCTCAACACCAGCCATAAACATCCATAAAGCATCTTAATATATCTCAATCATCAACCATATGGGGGCTACAACAAAAACATCCCAAATAGTGGCATACCTAATTTATAAGCCCGAAGTGTGGATAAATTTAAAAATTTATAGATCTATAATTATCCCAGCAATTTCCCAGAATTATGCCGTAGTTCAATCATATTTCAATCACAATTTCCAGTTTCTATCGGAGTACCGATAGATATATCCCCAGTGATAGATGATTCTCCCATTGTATCCCCATTATAAATGCATTAAAGTCCCAAGGTTATACCCTCCGGTAAACTAACATAACTATGGAAAATCACCATTTTTAATGGGAAAATCCATTATGAATGGCAATTTTCAATAGCTATGTTAGTTTACCAGAGGGTATACCGTATACCATAAATTGCTTTGATACCCACCAAAAATCACACCAACTGCCATCCTTTCAGGTCCGAATAATTCTTCTCCCAATGATCTCAACATATCTCAACCATAATCACAGAACATTTCCATCTCCCAACTGGTTTCTATCTTTCCCTGATATTTGCTCAAGATGGTCCAAGCAAACAAAAAACGATTCAACTATTCCGTGTGGATTCCCTATCTCTACCATGCAGATATCCCAAAAAAACATCCCCCTGCACATTTACCCCCCTGACCCAAGGCAACCATTTTGTAAGGGGCCCAGGAGTTAACCTTACAAACATCCATGGTTGGGGGTTTACAAAATGGGCTGGGCACCAGGCTTGGTGTGATTCCCCAGCAAACACCGGTGAACCCCAAAAAAAATCAAAAATCGGCTCCTTACAAAATGGTTGCCCCAAGTTAATTTCCAGGCCCCAAACCCAATCATCTTATAAGCTTGTGTCTTAAAAAATGGTTTGTTTGGAAACATGTCTTACTTAATGTACAAGTCCAACTTTCCCCAGGGAACCCCGCAATTTTTTCCCAGTCCCCAAAGTTTGGAAAAAATCCCAGAAAGTTTGATATCACCTTTTCTGGTTGGTTGACTTAGTGGTGTCTTGCCGGTTCTTCACACATCAATGGTGGAACCCAAAAAAAATTAGAGAAGAAACCCTGGTTCCTGGACATGGCCAAGATTTCAATACCCTTTTTTGCACTGCCTGAAATGAACCCAAAATTGCGTTATGACATGATTGGCCCCGAGTTCATTTTGTAAAGAAAGTTGGCTCTTACAAAATGATTCGCCCAGCAAAAAACACGCTTTTTACAAAATGGCATGGTTGACCAGAAACATGTCCTTACAAAATGCATCCTTTTGTTGGAAAAATGCCTCTGGAATGGAACATGGGTCAAGCCATTTCATAGTGGAAATGTACACAGGGATAAAAAAACATGCAACAAAAAAAGAACCACCCGAGAAACCGCAAAAAATCTACGAATCTTCGGCTTTTTCTGGGTTTTTCCGAAAAAACCTGCAGAGATGCTATGCTTCTGGGATCATCTCAATGGCCATTTTAGGAACCTAAATTGGAGGTACCTACCATATGTAAGGCCTATGTAAGGGGATATACCCCCAAAATATGGCCTTATATGGTACAGTACCTCCATTTTAGGATCCTGAAATTCCCATTGACCATCTGCCAAATCTCCGTTTCCAGGTCCAAGTTTCCCAAGTTTCCGCCGCTTCGCCCAGGGTGTTTCGGGAGCGCCATGGCTCCAGTTGGAGCATCCAGCGCTCCGCGTTGCGCACCGCGCCCGGGCACTGCAGCCAGGGCCGGCTGCCGCAGGCGAGGCCGTAACTGCCGAAGGCGGGGCCGCAGAAGAAACGAGGCGCTGTCCTGGACGTTGGAACCCTGGGTTCCCCTCAGTTTAACATATGGGAAATATATGGGAAACATATGGGAAATATATATATATATATATGACTTCCAGCGGTCACGCCATTTTCAGTCCAGGAGCTGACTCGATCTTCTGTCCACCAAATGGGTGAGATGGACGAGTTTATCAACATGCACCCAAGGTGAAGAAAGAAGTGGCCCAAGTGCACGGGTGGGGTGCAGCATTGGGTTGGGTGTCACTTGAGATTAAATGAACGGAGTTCGGCCATGCGTTCTGTTCCCACTTCGCATCAACCATGTTTGGAAAACACCAATGACTTCCAGCGGTCACGCCATTTTCAGTCCAGGAGCTGACTCGATCTTCTGTCCACCAAATGGGTGAGATGGATGAGTTTATCAACATGCACCCAAGGTGAAGAAAGAAGTGGCCCGTAATTGCAAAAACAATCTGAATGCAACTGCATGGCCCATATTTGTGTTGCCAACTGGCTATGCCGGCGCGAGCCATGAAAGAAATCATCATGCTGTTTCAAACTTGGCACTGAAGTTGCGGGCAATGCATTGGACGTCATGGTCATAGAAGTCCTTTGCGTATGCATTGCACATCTTAATGGGGTACGGTTGAGCCACATTGGTTAACCATTGTCCTTGTTCGTTCTGTCCAACCAGCTGCATATGTTTGCATCGTGTGTATTGGCATATCCCTCGTTTTCCAGACTGACACACAGCATGCTGAAGACGTGGCAAGCGTAACAACACACACACAGAAAACCAGTTGGCTTTTTGTAAGGTTTGCCCCAAGCACAGTAGTGAGTTTCAACCCAAGTGACCAATTTTTGCCGTAGAAGGTGAAGGACAGGAGGACACAACCAAAGTCTAGACCGTGCAGGATTTTCCATGGTACCACGCACTTGGAATCGCAATCCCAACAATAGCAACCAGACTGAAAATCGCATCCAAAGATTACCAACAGCAACTTTTACTTGGTCATGAGGCTTAAGTCCATGTAGGCCCAAGGGTTGGGAGTCAGAGCGAAGTGGAGGAGGACCTGGAGGAAAATCACGAGCTCTTGTAAAGCCTTCACAAGGCGTGCCCAAATGAAACCCCAGTATCAAACCACTTCTAACCCAATCACCAATCAATCTACGCTTCGCTGGTGACCGAAGGTCATACTCTGGGCCCAAAGTTATATCCCACATAAGCACATAGCATCCACACACTGAGGCCATGCTTCGAGAGAGATTGCCAACGCCAGAAAAAATCTTGAGGAAGACGGCAACGGTCAAAGACCTGCTAATACTCAATGCCGGCATTGGAGTGTCTTTTCCAAGTTGTCGGCGGCCTTGATGCATTTTCGAAGCACCGAGGCTGGCAGTTCGTGTAACAATTGATTCAGTCTTCCCCCTTTTTCGTAACGGCGGACGCTGGAAAAGGTCTTCCAGCGCCCCCTTCGCTGGATCTCCTTGAGCTTCCTCTTGCCCAGGGCAAAATCGCGACTTGCCCCTCCATGTCTGAGCCGGTATGGATGTGGTGGCCCCACTGCTTCTAAGTTCTCTGCCTTTGCCGCCTTCTCCATCACCGTTTTCAGCTGCGCAGGAGTTGATGTGAACAAGGGGTTGTTCCTTGGTCCTCGTCTGGAGTTTCTCCATTTGCTCACCGCCACTGGGATGTAGTTGAGCTCCTTCTCGTCGAAGGTCACAGTCTCGTCGAATTCGCAAGTCTTGGATGCCACCTCCAACTCTGTCGGATGCAACACTACACTCCAGGTTCGGCTGCGAGCGGCCTTGGTATTCAGCGGTGGGACCAAGTCCTTGTTCCTCAGGCGACACACTTCGCCAGGTCTGAGGTAAAGCACAAAGCACATTGCCATCATCAGAGCCTCTTGGACGTGGTTGTTCTTCATGGCATACTGAATCATGAGTGCAACTGTCTCCCAAGGCAGAGGTAAACGAGACTTCGGTGGGTCCAGCTTTCGCCATCCCTGCAGTGACTGTCTCGCCCTTGGCAACAACATCTGTCTTGGGGCCTTCAAGTGAGGCAGGTGGTAAACTGCTGCCGCCACCATGTACTGCGCCATGCTCAGATCCTCCCCTTCCTCGAACATGTGATTCAGCATGGCTTCCAAGCACTGATCCACAGTTTGAGGTGGGGTGCTCTGATTCAGACGCATCTTGCTGAACAGCATCAACCGATCCCAACAGTCCCTATATGTATCCCTGCATTTGGTTGACACTGATGCCTCGGCCAATGACCCGGCTCGATCCAGCTGTTGTTTCCTCTTCTTGCGCTTCTGCTCTAAGTCCTTCTTCTTGCCAGTCTCTGGAGTCTTGCGCTTGTTGTTGCGGGATGCAGCTGTGTTTTTGTTTGGCTGCACCCGATCTATCTCCAGAAACCGGTGTATCATGCGACGCCAGGGGAAACCTAACTGGTTTGCTAGGAAAAATTGAGCCCCTAGATGGACCATCCGCGGGGTTCCATTCTGAAGGAAGCCACCGGTAACACACTTGGAGGTTTGCCCCCAAACACATAGCTGCAACCTGTTGACTGACACGCCGCATCTTGAAAGATCGCCCCCTACCTTTATCAAGTGCACAAACTGCTGAAATGGAATCAGACAAAACCAGCAACCGTTTCCCAAAACACTCTATGTTCCTAGCAGCATGTTTGATTGCAAACAACGATGCTCGTGCTTCGAGGACTGGAAAAGGTTCTGCTCGTTTCCACTTGTAACGACCACAGACTTTCCAACTTCTGTCAACAGTTGAAAAAGGAACTGCTTTGAAAATCTGTTCACTCTTTTTCGGGGGGACAACCTCCAACGGCTGCAGCCCTGACCCAGAAGCCGCCTCTGTCGCAGCCCAGGCAGCTCCACCGCTGTCCTGAGGGTCAGTTGCCGTTGCGAGACCAAAGGAGTGTTCTCGAGGCTTTGCTAGGTGCGGATAGTCAAAACGCCATCTCTCTGAAAACTTCCCCAATTCCTCAACTTCAGAAGGGTCAAAAACTGCTGTGGTGGCTCCCATTCCCCAATCTGACGCATCAACGGCTGTAACTGTATTATCCCGGGTCCCAAGGTGCAGCTAAATCCCTCCAAATCAAAGGCGCAATACCAATAAATATGGATAGTTCCCTACGCACTGATCGCCAAATACGACTCCTATAGTAATAGTGCCGCTGTATGAACGTGTACGTCTCTCCAAATATTGATAGTGCTTCCCTTCGCCCCAGACTCAAAAAGTTTGCATGTCCAACAATTTTCTCGAGTTGGCGACCGCTGCAAACACCACGCGCTAACAGGTGCTCAAAGGCTTTACGGACTCGCCAGACCCTCAGAGGTTTTGGCCGGAACGTGGAGTCTTCGAACTCCCAGCCCAGAACACGTATGTGGCTCGAGGCTTGTTCGATTTCATGGACAACCAGGCCTTTGCCACGAAGCGCTTCAACACCCTTCTGAGCAAGTTTTTCAACCTTATCTTTACAGGTGCCAAGAACGACCCAGTTGTCCACATACTCCAAATGCATACAATCTTCATTGGGAACAATGGCCTTATCTTCTATGGAGTTCTCAGCAGTTGCACCAATTTCGCTAACAATCCTTTGATGAATCATTTGACACCACCACAAAGCATGACTCCAACCCATAGGAAGAACACGAAGCTGTGGATAAATCTTATTACAGGGGCTGATCACCATCAAGTTTATCAACTCCAATGGATCCAGCCGGAACAGGTCGCATGGTAAAGAAACGTCGCAGCTCTGCAGGAAGTTCGAAATGATAAAAAGCGTCTTTGAGGTCAGCAGTCGAAACAAACAATGGCCTACCGCTGGGCAAATGGATCCTTGACAGGGCCTCAGCTGTGGTCAGCCGGACCTTGTCGGGAACTGCGAACCAGCAATTGGATCTTCGGCAGTCCACGACCAGACGTTGTCTGCCATCCTTCTTTGCAACGCAAAACATCTCGATCTGCTCAGTCCCAGAACTAGATGAAAACTGAACCAATCCCGCATCTGCCAGACGCTTCACAAAACTCTGATAGGTTGAGGGATTCCTCAACTTTGGGTCAGTGTAACACCGCTGAACGCCACTGTCCACCAGATTCCTTCGGGCCTCGTTCTCATCCAGAAGACGAGTACGACAAAACGCACTCACAATTTCCATCCCATCGCCACCCAACAGCTCAGCAACTGGCACGGCACAATTGCCAGCGCTGGGCAAAGAGAGGAGCTCTGGGTCGTAAGTCGTGATTCCCCATAACCGTCAAAGGCGTGAAGCTGGCTAACCGCTCCTTCGCCGTCAAGGCCGTCTGGACAAGGCCCCAATGCATGCACAGAAGACCTGATGTGGGCAATCATCCTAGATTGGGTGGGCAGCTGACAAAACACCACTGCACACCGCAGGCTGAAGCCCCTCACCACTGTACAATGAATTCAAAGCGCGGATGCAATCCTCCACCATGGAATCAACATTGCAGGCTCGATGCACTCTTCGTTGCACAGACCTGCTGCAATCCATCCTCCCAGCCACTGCGCGCGGCAAACAAGAAGGCAAAGGAAATACATCACGGGGAACAAGGCGATCAAAATTGCCAGAAGAGGGGGCTTGGGTTCCCAACCCCTGATGGGCCCCACCAACAGGGGTCAACCGCGAGCCTAGGGGCTCTCTTCGGTCTTCTTGCCCTTGTTGTTGGCTTTTCGATTCAGCTCTCTCTCTTCCCGCGCTTTTCGCATGCCCTTTTGAAGGGCCACATCCTTCTCCACCTCGCCCTTGACATAGTCGAGGAGGGCAGGTGCCACCATCAGGGTGCCAGCCTGCCGCACAATGGCTCCGAAGGTCACCTGTTCTTCAATGGAAAGCTTTCCTCCCACTGTTTTGGCCTCAGCTTCCCGAGCACGTTCACCATGAGCAAACTCTATGGTTTGGAGGCGGCGGAACATCAACTCAATCCCCAAGCTGTTCAGGCAGTTCAAGCAGTCGACTTGGATCAACTGTCTGAGAAACATCGACAGCTGAAAGTGCTCCATCACGCCCCAGGTTGAGCTCTCCAACTTGCACAAAGTTCTGAATCTTTCGTGATGAGCTTCCAGTCCCAAACCTTCAATGGCCAGATAAGACAAACACCATTTCGTGGTCCGCGGACCGGTCAAGGTCCAACCTAGGTCATATTCAGAGCATGCTGCTGCCGCTTCTGCCAATGTTCGCTCAGGAGATCCTAAGAGATTCATCTTTCGACCATTGATCCGCCCATCACATAGAGCCGGTCGATTGTTGAAGTCGGCCTGTGACTTCTGATCGATGCACATGACAAACAGAGATAGTCCATTGGGAAGAGGATGCAAGTGTTTGGAACTAATGGTTGCCACAGCTGTCACACCATCAACCTTCTGCCCATACACAAAACCATGGTCAGTTTCTGCCGCAACCCACACTCCCGCATCTCCAGAAATGTCGCGTGCACCAGGTGCACCATGCTCAGAAGACGCTGCTGCAGCTGGAGCGGCCGGCTGAACAGCCTGAGCTGGCACCATAGCTCCACCACCCAGTCCACGCCGAGCTTTCTCAGCGGCAGCTTCAGCAGTGGCCTGAGCCCGGATGCCTGCCAAAGTGGCTGCATCCCAGGCCGGCAAGCCATAGACTTCAGCCGCAACAACCCCAGGAGGTAGCTGGTTGGGAGATGGACGGATCCTGAATGCCCTCAGGTCACCGTTCAATGGGCTCATTTGTTCACAATAAACATCCTGGTCTGGCGTGGCTACTATGTAATAGTCATCAATCACATGATCCAAAATCATCCGCTCATGAACTACAGTAGGCCCTGCAACATCATACTCAACCAAACCTATTCGATTGGTCAGCGCCATGTCTCCTCAATCTTAGTTCGGCCAACTGGTTTCGGGCCAGTGTCTGAATGCTAACCGGAGATCTGTCAGAAACGGGGCTTTCAGAGGATGTCTCTGCTCTTGACCAAGGGGCCAGTCCACACCACTTGCAAGCACTGATTGAGACCACGCAGATCAACAACACCACCCCCACCGCAAAGCAAACTTCAATCGACAAAGTCCAAGAAAGTTTCAGTTCAGAGGGATTAGATGAAGGGCCGGGAGTAGATGTGGATACAATGCACTCCTGAACAGTCTGCTGAACAACCCGTTTCAAAACTTCTTCCGTAGATGAGTCTACCTTATGCCAGCCAAACACCCAGACCACGTTAATCAAAGTTGTCACTTGCCCCACTAGCAGCCCTGCGGAGAGAACCAACCAGTAGGAAATTCCCATGGCACGCGCCCTATCTTGTCACTTGAGATTAAATGAACGGAGTTCGGCCATGCGTTCTGTTCCCACTTCGCATCAACCATGTTTGGAAAACACCAATGGTGATTTATTGGAAAATTATAGGAAATATATGGTGATTTATGGATGTACATATCTAAATGCTTTGAAAATGGATATGAATGGCCCATGTTTTCTTGATTTATCATGATTTATCATGATTTATCATGATTTATCATGATTTATCCACTAAGAAAGGATACACATGATGATTTTCTCATGATTTTCGTTAAATTATCAGAGGATATACCATAAATGGGTGAACTGTCTATACTGAACTAACCAGAAAAACTTTCTTCGCGGGATCCTCCTCCTAGCGGAAGTTTCAGAAGGGATAAATCCAAAAAAACTCAGAATTCTTAGGATGATTCCACCTATCCTAAGCATCATCTATGGTGAGAGCCGAGGCTCCGAGGGTCACTCTCTTTTTTGCTTCGGAAGGTGCTCCGAGGTTATCCACGTGGTATGCTCATCCATATGATTTTTTGGATCCATGAACCGATGACATACGATCCCCCTCTTTCACGGGAACAAAAATCCAACTCTTGATTATAGATCATTATATATATATATATATCCCATAAACTACCCTCCGGTAATTCTAAATAGCTATATGGAAAATGATTATACAATTATACAATAATTGGATTTGCCGTGATAATAGATCCATATAGGTTATACATAATTGGATTTGCCGTGATAATAGTTTATAGTTTACGGTTATAGATCATTATATATCCTATAAAATACCCTCCGGTAATTCTAAATAGCTATATGGAAAATGACCCATGGTGATCGTCCATAGCAAACTGTTAGTTTACCATAAACATCAATTATCCCCATGTTTTTCCATGTTTTCCAGGTGGTAAAATTTCCGACTTCTCATTGCCAATCTCAGATACCCTGCAAAAAATAAATACTTAGCTGGTTAGGAGATATTCCTATTTATACCAAAAGATTAAAGGATTAAACTACCTGTTCCAAGATTGACCTACTAAGTATCATTCGATCATATGGAGGTTTCCTGAAATGGGGGTACCCCCAGTTCTCATCTATGTTCATCCGTTTTTGTTTGGGATTTTCCAGTATAAACCATCCAACGAGCTTGGGGTACCCCCATGACTATGGAAACCCCCAAAAATATGGCATTTGAAGATCCATTCAACATGGAAATGGAAAAATCAGTAGTAGATACCCTCTGGTAAATTAACATAGCCATTGAAACTGGCCATTGAAATAGTGGATTTACCCAGAAACAAATGGTGATTTTCCATAGCTATGTTAGTTTACCAGGGGGTATCTCGCCTAATATCCATGTTTTATGGTGATATACACCCATGGCCAATGACTAGTGAAACCCCATGCCCTGGTCCTTTGCAAGAATTTCGCGCATCGTTCTTCACCTCTGATGCGCTGCATGCCGTCCACAGCCTCCATGGCCGGCGCGATGATGGTGGGAATGGTATCACCAAGGCCATCGGCGAAGTACAGGTAGGAGCCGTTGATGTAGGGCGAAGCCCAGGCTATACATTGGAAGTTGGCCAAATGAGCCTGGAAACCTTAGAAAAAGGCAAAGGCATGGGATGAAATCTTCAAAAACAACATCATCTTTGGAAAAAAAAGTGCGTTGTATGAAGTACAATAAACTATTCTCTATGTTTTGCTTTTCCTCTCTCTCTCTCTCTCTCTCTCTCCCTCCCCTTCTCCATCTCCATCTGTTTAGCTGTAGCTGAGCTTTATATCGATTTAGGGATTTTCTGATTTTTCTGTAAGTTTCTCACCTTTCGAATGGAAAGCTGAGGTTCAGTTGGTGATAACACCATCTCAAAAAGAGCACAGTCCTGAAATCAGCAACCAAAAAACTATCAGGTCTAGAAATCGACAATCCATGGTCCAGTGGAATCAAGTCCTTCGCCCACGCAAAGCGCTGCGAATCCGCAGCTTCCTTCGGCAACAAAGGCCTACTACCCAGCAGATACACGGGATTGCCATTCCCTCCAAAGGCGCACTTAGGCTTCGCCACGGCAAAGTCCTTCCTGGTGCCCTCTCCAAAAATCCAACGACTGTGTAGAACCTGGATCCCTCCGTCGTAAAGTTGGAAGAAGGTCTCTGAAAACGGACCACTGATGAACAAGGACCTCAGATTCTGCGCCATGGGAATTTCAGGATCCTAAAATGGAGGTACCTACCATATATAAGGCCTATTTTTCAGGCCTATGTAAGTGAATATCACCACAAAATATGGCCAAAAATATGGTACGTTTAAGTACCTCCTTTTTAAGGATCCTGGAGATCTCCCATTGAGATTCTGCGCCATGGGATTCTCCTGACATTCTGTGCTCAGGCGAAATCCACATCAGCCGGCTCTTGTGAGCAGGGCTGGTGGTACCTCTGCAAACATGCCCTCCATGAGTAACTGATTGGTGGTTTTTCACCACCCCTCTGAGAAATATGAGTGAGTAACAGTTGGGATGATGACATTCCCAACTGAATGGAAAGTCATAAAATTCATCTTCCAAACCACCAACCAGGTAAAAATCAACTTCATAAGGCAGGTCTCAAAATTCGAACAGCACCATCCCATCATGAGAATCGGATGACTTCCGCCCTCGGATCAATCCCACACTTTCTGCGGATCTCTCTCACCCCGAGAGGGGAAAACAAACAAAATATGCTGCGCAACACCCAGGAGACTCCGTAAATGCCATGACAAAGCCAGGGGGAGATTCATCCAAGATCCTGAAGCAGCCGCTGCTGAGTTCAGGCATTCCAGCTGCTGCCACACGCACGTTGTAGAAGATGGCACGCTTGAAATGGATGTAGCCTCCAGAGGTCCAAATCGCTCGAGCCTCTGAAGCGATGGGGCCATCGATATGAGCCTCGAAGCGCTTGAACATTGGTTGAACTTGGCATGTGCATCCATTGATGGGAGTTTCTCGTTCGCTTTCTTCTAGCTGGGCACTGGATGATGGATGATATACCATGAAACATCATGAAACATCCGGTTTCTGTTCCGCTTTTCCGGGCAATGCATACTATACTGAAACTATGTGAAACTCAGGTCCGAAAAACAGGATGACTCACCACATCCTAAACAACAAGCAGGCAGGGCACAGCACAGAAATCTTCAAAGACATTGGTCTGAAAGAGATATGTCCGCTGCTCTGTAGGCCGCTGGATGTCAAAGCTCATGGGAACCCAGGAGAAAGAACCTTCCAAGGGGCCTGGACGTCGGAGGTTTCAGGTACTCCATGCTGCTCCCATTTCCGCCCACGAATCTTACCCTCCAGTCATTTTCCGCCTAGTGACCATCCAAAATGACCAGTCGTAGACGATTTACCTGAATGTATCTATCAAAAATGCTAGTTCTTCCATAGCTGTGTTGGATAACCAAAGGGTATAGATCCTTTTTCAAAATCATTTTCAGCTACTATGTACCTCCATCCTCCTCCATGTAGGGCAACCAAACACAGCATTTCGGACGACGGATTTCACCCACTAACCCAGCTGTTTGAAACATCTTCCAAATCCATTTCAAGTCAGAGATTGCCTTGCCAAAAATAAAGATCAAAAATAATCCCTTCAACCACCATCATCTGACACATCCACCTACAAAAAAATTACTTTACTTCGTGTGATCCCCACCATGACATTTATACATGTTCTTACTGGCAAATCTTCTGGCATTCTATCTGACATATCTTCTGACATTCTATTTGGCATTCTATCTGGCATATCTTCTGGCATATGATCTGGCATATCCTCTGGCATATCTTCTGGCATTCTATCTGGCAAATCTTCTGGCATTCTATCTGGCATATCTTCTGGCATTCTATCTGACATATCTTCTGGCATTCAATCTGGCATTCTATCTGGCATATCTTCTGGCATATATTCTGACATATCTTCTGGCATATTTTCTGCATTCTATTCTGACAATCTTCTGATTCTTCTGGCATTCTATCTGGCATTTATTGGCATATCTTCTGGCATATCATCATTCTATCTGGCATATCTTCTGGCATATATTCTGACATATCTTCTGGCATTCTATCTGGCATTCTATTTGGCATTCTATCTGGCATATCTTCTGGCATATCTTCTGACATTCTTTCTGACATTCTTTCTAATTTTCTTCTGCACATTCTTTGTCCCATATCTTCCTACATGAGGTCCGGCAGGGAACACTTGGCGTGGATACTCGCGGTTGAGGTCCGGCAGGGAACACTGGGCGTGGATGGTCCTGGTTGAGGTCCGGCAGGGAACACTGGGCGGGGATGGTCGTGGTTGAGGTCCGGCAGGGAACACTGGGCGTGGATGGTCGTGGTTGAGGTCCGGCAGGGAACACTGGGCGCGGATGGTCGTGGTTGAGGTCCGGCAGGGAACACTGGGCGTGGATGGTCGTGGTTGAGGTCCGGCAGAGAACACTGTGGATCGCGGGTCGCAGTTGAGCAAGGACGCCGAGGACGACGAGGACGACGAGGAGGACGAGGAGGAGGAGGAGGAGAGGAGGAGGAGGAGCAGGAGGAGGAGGAGGAGCAGGAGGAGGAGGAGGCAACTGACATAAAATCTAACAACCCTCACCTGGCAGGTGGGGAAATATGAGAACATAGGAGAAGCATGTTCAACCAGATGTTCCACCATTTGTTCAATCTCCAACATGTCCCCGTCCCCCCTTCAACCCCGCGCCTGAACAGGTGGCACAGTGATCCGCACGACAGGTCCCAGAGAGGTCGCATCCTCCGAGCCAGTCACGCGACCATCGATGTGGATCCCACGTCTGGCACTGGTCACCTGGTCTCGACGGTTGGGCGCCGGGTCGGCTGTTGGGCCAACCCCAGGTTGAATGTTCAATGGCCATGCAACAGGAACCGATTGATTGGAGGTACCTACGGTACCTAGCATATATTTTTGGCCGATTTTTGAAGGCCGAATTTTCAGGGGATATCCCCACAATTCATATGGCCAAACATATGGTACAGTAATTACCTCCATTTTAGGATCCTGAAGATCTCCCATTGTGTGGGGATCCCATGGTGACGACTGGGCATAGGATCCCTGGAAACTTCCAGCCGTGGTAAAATACGAAGCATGCTGCTGCGGCTTGGGAGGCAAACTAATGTGGGAACCTCATAAAGCTAGCATTTGGTGATGGTTTCTCAATGGCCATTTCAGGTTCCTAAATTGAAGGTACCTACCATATATACGATCTATGTAAGGCCTATGTAAAGGAATATCATGGAATATCCCTACAAAACATTGCCTTATATGGTACAGTACCTCAATTTTAGGCACCTGAATGGGCATTGAGTTTCTACAACGCATTTATGGTGATTTGGAGGATGGTCTACTGGGTTTTCACCCCCCGATTTTAAGACCAAACCACGATGCCATGAGCCAAGTCACAGCGTTTCCTCTGAAGGCTTTCACAGGCGTTCGTGCCTCACATCGCTAGGTTGGCTGGTGAGTTTATAATTGCAATTTTGCCATGGTTGTTGATACTCAGACAACTATAGTATTCATGGGGTTTATAAATATAAACACAAACTGGTGTCTTTAAACAAATATTTAGTATGTATACCTTATAATATATGATATCTATAATTATAAGATAATTATATGTATATTATAATATATCTTACAATCTATATAACCTCAGTATTCATGGGGTTTATAACCAACAAACAAAATTGATTTCACTGCGGTTCAGTCGTTTATGATACTTGTAGCATCTTATAACGAGCTAGTAGTCATGGGGTGAAACTAAACCAACAAACTGGGGGGCCCACATTGTAGGCCTAAAAAGTGTTATATATGTGATAAAAACTGGTAAGGTTTGTTCAAAGAAAAGAAGGCAACATTTGCCTCACTGGAGCTCAGGAACCCCAAAAGAGAACAACACATACCCTCTGGTAGTTTAACAGTTTGCTATTGAAAATTGCCATTTAGTTCGTTGATTTGCCCATTAAAAATCATGATTTTCCATAGTTTTTTGTAGGTTTACCAGAGGGTATTCCAATAGATTTCCCAAAGTAGATCCAATGGGAATTTCAGGTGCCTAAAATTGAGGTACTGTACCATATAAGGCCATATTTTCTGGGGATATTCCCTTACATAGGCCTTACATAGGCCTTATATATGGTAGGTATGTCCAATTTAGGATCCCATTTTTATTAACCATTAAATAACCATATATAACCATATCATTAACAATTCCCCTTGGTTATATCTGGAAAATATACGCTTTGTTGTAGATATGATGAATCAACTCTTACGTAGGTTTTTTTCCCTTTCCGGTGGATTTCTGGTATTTTGGGCCTTGTAACCATCATTGCGGCATCCCCACCATGCCCCACCTGTTCTTGTTGGAACCACCAACTGCCTGAACCTTGGCCGCTCCTGGGGTCCTGGAAATATCTTCCGCTGGCGCCATTATTGGAGCCGAGGAAGGTGAACCAGTAGCCCGTGTTGGCATCCACCACATGGTTCTCAATGAAACCTGAGCTGTTGATACCCTCTGGTAATTTAACATATAGCTATTAAGAATTGGCATAGAAATTCTGAGTTTTCCCATCAAAAATGGTGATGTTCCATAGTTTTTTGTATGTTTCCCAGAGGGTATCTTGTTTTTTTGGTTGAGCCACCCCTCTGAAAAATGATTGACTGAGTAACAGTTGGGATGATGACATTCCCAAGATATGGAAAACAACAAAAAATGTTCCAAACCGGGGAACACCCAGCTCATGGATGTGGGAATCCCAGATGGAGGTTTCCTGAAATAGGGGTACCCCTAAATCATCCATTTTTGTTTGGGATTTTCTATTATAAACCGTCCAGCTATTATATAGGTCTCCCCATTGAAGGAACCACCAAAATTTATATTAGATATAATGGAATAATCAACCAACAGTGGTCTTGAGCAGTCCTCTCCTGATCCACACGGCTCTAAAATGACACTTTGATGACTTGAGTTTTCATCCCGCTCTACGAGCACCAGGGTCAGAACACGTCTTTTGAGCCTTGTTCATTGGCCCTTTGTTACCCTTGTTAACCTCAGCTAGCCATTCTCAGTGGTGTGAACCTTTGAGTCTTAGCTCACATCCAGCCAGACCACATCCGAAACCTTGCTAGTCTCCAGCAAAAACAACTTGGCCAATAACATCCACAAAACAAAAAAAAAACGACCCCGAAACCAGTGCCAGCAGCTATTGTTTGGATTGGTGATCCAAAATCCGCTGGGCCCCAACTGCAGATTAGACCTGGGTCCTGAAGCCACCTGCCAATCACTGCAGAGCGATCCTCCCGGGCGAATGGACGCGACCAGGTTCTTCTCGAAGACGTTGCCCGTTTCAATGCCATCTTCCAGGTAGAATGCGTGGCCAAAGGTCTCATAACACACCTGGGAAGTTCAAAGTTCGCGAACTGGAAAATCAAAGAGGTAAGTTAAATCAATGTAAAACATACACACAAATATCAATATATATATATATATACAGTAATACAAGGATCAAACCCAGCCACATCTCCCTTTGCAACAAATCTCTTACCGAGTTGAGTAACTTCATGAACCTTCATATGGGGATGGGTCAAAATGTATCATTTCCATATTTGGTGGAATAAACATCAATTAACCAGCTATTTTTGTCGGGCACATCCGGGTTTCCCCCGGGTTTTGACTCAGTTCGCCATATCTTCAAATCTCCAAATACTCTCAGATCATGTGGTAAACCGGGATGGGAGCTCCAAAGCTCCCGATAAATTCCCGGATACTTGAGACTTGGGCAAGCATGGGTAAAAAGCAATCGATTGATTGGTTATAACACATTCATATATCAATCATATCAATCAATAAATTGATTATAACCAATTTATAATTTATAACCAATTTATAACCAATCAATTGATGTATGTTATAATACAGTCATCATCCCATATCATCCCCATTCATCCCCATGTGTTCATGGTATTTCATGGTTATCCGAACGGTTATCCGACCCCACCATTGGCACATAAACCCTCAGATCAAGTAAGTTGACTCACGAGAAGAAATCGGCCAGTTGCGGAGAGTTATCGGGATCCTAATGATAAATAATCTGCATCCTTCATGGTTGCAAAATATTGTATATCGCAATTAACAAGTTAGGAATTCATCATTGACCCCAAAATCGCTCAAATCATCCCCATCATCGAGACATAAATCTCCATTGTGTCCCACTATATCATGTTTTTTCTTGGTCAACATTGCAATTTCTGATGCCTCAAGCACACTAAATCTGGATGAATTATGATCTTTCACCCCTCATTTCAGGCTAGTGTGAGAACATCTCCCTTGCCCATCATTCCATGATTTCTTGGTGAGGCACATTTTGCTGCACTTCAGCATTGGCCGTGCCATGCAGCGTAACGCAGCGCTGGAAGTTGTGGTGCAGGGAGCTGTTCCGCAGCGTGGCGCGGCTCTTCACATCCCCTGCCAGGTGCCAATGTACGGGATATCGAGCCATTTGCATGGCCTGCCAGGAATGTGAAGCCAGTGGAAACTGGGAGATTCAACCAACATAAGCTAATACAAACTAATTACCCTCTGGTAATTTAACAGTTTGCTATTGAAAATGGCCATTTATAGTGGATTTACCCATTGAAAATGGTGATTTTCCATAGTTTTGTGTATGTTTACCAGGGATTAACCATACTAACCAAGAATAAATGGGAATATCAAGTATCAAGTAACTAACTAATCAACGAATAGTTTAATGTGGAAGATTCCCCTCAGCAATACTGGGGAGGTTCAATTGACCAATATGGTAATTACTGACGCACCTTTGCCGCAAGGTTTACCGTTTGGCTTGAATCTGATTTGGGGGATATAACTAGAGTCATCCTGGAGTAGAATGCGGAAATTTCAATTCTATTCTTTGCTCCTCACCAAAATGGGAACATGTTTGAAAATCCCACATCCTAATAAATGCACATCCCATTTCAAGCCAAATTCTTGATGTGCTGCTATCCGCTATGCTTCATACTGTCCCCCCCTCTCCTACTCCAACCATTACGGAAAGCTTCATTAATGGACAGATCTGAAAAGAATGAAACTCGTTGAAAAACAGCCCCTATGGATTTCCCAAATAGTGGATTAGTGGATTTACCAAATTTTGGAAAATAGAACATCACTTTTTTTCAGCAAATCGAAGTCATTGCAAAGGCTACTTATAGAATTGCTCATGCCAGTGAGTACATGGGTTATACCGGTAACCTCCGTTGTAACTAGACTAACCCTACTTAGCCTACAGCTGGGGTTATGAACCACTTACCAACTGGGATGAGCCATGACCCGCCAGTAAATTAACATAGGCCCTGGCAGATAGGGCTTGGACGATTAGTGTCCACTAAAAATGGGATATGTTCAGGGTCCAACTCTGAATTTACCAAATGATACGTCTGGTTATTTAACGTATCCCAAATCACCATGATCAAAAAAAGGTAAATCACAAAAGAAAAATCAACTAAACTTGGCCAATCACCATAAATTGGTCATGAACTAAAACAATATAAATCCTCGAAAATTGGGCCAATCACAAAATAAATCATGGAACTAAATTCGTCATGACTTCGCTATGGCTTCCAGTTCGCAAACTGTGAAGCCATAGCTCTGAGCCCATGAGGCGCTCCTGGCCCAGGTGGAAGAACTCCACATGTTCGATGTTCACCGTGGAGTTTTGGATGAAGAGCACCTAAAAACACCGGTTGGAGTTTCCATTGGGAAAAAAGGGTGGAAGAAATCCTGCACTAGTTGGTAATATTGGTAACTATTGGTAACTATAACTATTGGTAAAAATAACTTAGAAACCTGATAAAAGTCATGAAAAAGGGACACGTGTCTATATATAACCGGTTTAATATAAATCACCATAAATGGATACTATAAACGATCCCCGGTAGGTTTATGGCAGTGGGTTTCGCACACTAATCACTATTATTTGATATCCATGATTATCATCCTCCTTATTATCTAGTATTGTTATTGTTCTGTCGATGACTATTGTTCTTGCCATGTTTATCATACATGTTCCCAAGGATGTGGCAAAAGTGAAAAACATCATTGGATCATACATATTCATGTAAATATTCATATATGATATCATCCTTTCTCTCCCTCTCTCTCTCTCTCTCCATCGCCATCTCAGAGAGTTCAACAGAAGCTGGTATCATCCTTTATTATTAGCGTTTATTTCATGTGGTACCCTCTGGTAAACTGACAGTTTGCAACTGGAAAATCAGCAGAATAGGTGAATCATCTATATACTATAGATAGTCCATTTTCCATAGCAAACTCTTAGTTTGGAGGGTAAACCTACCATCAACCATCCAACATCTTCCAGGGCACATGTCCTCCACGACACTCTTTTGGTGGCTCCGTCGCCTCCAAATGCACCGCTGTCCTCTGCAGCGCTTGGCGGCAGCGGTCCCACACCATGGCACCACCTTCGCAGTACACGGCAAGTTCCTATGGAAAATCACCATCTTTAATAGATAAATCACCATACATAATCTAGAATCTATAATTTGGTGAAACGTTTACAGTTTGCGAACTGGAAAATCACCTTTTGTTCAATAGGTAAATTAACGAACTAAATGTGCCATGGCTTCAAATAGCAAACTGTTAAACTACCAGAGGGTAGTTCTTTTTAGTGCCATGCTTGGGGGTACAGTGGAACAAAGTGAACCGATAAATAAGTGGGTTATATAAGTTATCATGGTTCCACCTTATATTCATTTATATATATATTATTTAACTTATGGAAGTTAAACTATGATAAGTAGCCAAGTGATTGTTATATAAGTTATTAGTGGCTTATATATATGTGTGTGACATATGTGTATATGGTTGTAGAGGTCGCTAATATCCTAACTTATGGAGGTTAAAATCCCATCGTTATACTGATTAAAAGCCCCTGGCCTGAAGCCCCAGTGGGATTTGTTTTACCTCCAACTGGACATACTTAGTAAGTATTAATAGTTATACTAATACTTAGTAATTACCTCCAACTTATGGTTGCATCATAGTAAATCCAATACTATAACTAAACCATGAAAGATACCCCTATCCCATCTTATTGCCCTACTTGGTTGATAAACTTCCCTACTACTTATAGCTTAGTTCATATTCCCCAAAACCCAGGTATTATAATTCCGTATAACCAATAAACCAACATATTTTCAAAAACTCAACTGCACTTGCACGCATCCAGATCTGCATATATATATATATATATATCACCAGTTGGAGAATTCTTATGGTTAAACACAGCTTATGGTTAAAGCCAACTTATGGGTTTGTTAATAGTTATAAGATGTTGTAAGGTCCTGCCTTCACATGCAGTTTGGCAACTGAGCAAGTGCGTGTGCGAGTCAATCCCCAGCAATGGCTGACCAGTGATCGTATTCCCGTAGTTATACTCCTATACTTATCTATCCAGATCTGGATAATTACATAAAAGTGATGATCTAGTGGTGATAAAATCCCAGAACTAGACTTATCCCATAGTTATACTTATTAAAACATATCACACATCTGGGATTATAACTGACCCAGTGGCTCGAATATGTTACAATACCATATCTTATAATGACTATCAGTGGCTTTATAATCCCATAGTTATATCCATAGTTACCTGGTTGGTGGTTGAGCCACCCTCTGAAAAATATGAAAGTCAGTTGGGATGATGAAATTCCCAACTGAATGGGAAAAATAAAATTCATGTTCCAAACCACCAACAAGATGTTAATATCCCATTTATAAGTGGCAAAATACCCCACAAAGTTTTCACCCATAGTTATACCCATAGTTTTACCCATAGTTATACCCATAGTTATACTTATCCAGCTCTTCTATAACCACCAAAGCCACGGGATTTTTCGCCTGATATCCGCAGGTTGCGCCCCAGCAGCGCCACCGCACCATTGAGACGCCGCCCCGCGTCGCGGAAGGCACCCAGGTGATCAGTGGACAGCGGAGTTTGGAGGAGTAGGTCACTGGAAGTCAACACCTGGGGGGTTTCGAGGAAAATTGCTGGTTTAACCACTGAAAATATGTGGAAAATGGGATCAGATAGGGATTTCTATGGGAAATTGTGAATGAATTCGGGTTTTAAGCAACAACAATTGTTGTTTAACCACGGAAAATGGTGATTGCACACACAAAAATCAGCAATTGAACCGCGAAGAATTGCAACTTTAATCAAAACACACACACACACACATGTAGATATATATAAGGGATTTTCACAAAAGTTAGTGTTTTCAACACTTTTGGTGTTTTCGGTATTGGGTTGGCACAGGATATGTTTTTTTGTTGAAAACCAACATCGAAGTAGTGCCACCATGAATGTGTTGAATATATGATTCTGATCGATGGCAAGAAGTTCTTAGGGGGACTCATGTTCAAAGCTTTTGTGTTTTGAATTTTGGCCGGGAGTTGCAGCAGCAGTACGGAATCTTTTGCCAAGAGAATGCTAGACTTTTAGTAGTCAGGGAATATAGCCAATTTTTAAAGAATAAATTAAGCATAGTCAGTGTTCACTCTTGCGAAATTGCGAATTGTATTAGGGGCACTTGGCTGCCATCAGTTAGCTTCTCCCATACCAGGGGCCACTAAAGGATTCCAAGGATAAGCCACCGGGGTTTTCCGCATTTTTTTCTGAGAAGGGGGCGGCGAGGAATTCCGGTTGTTTCGGGGGCGGCGAGGAATTTCCAACACGGGGGCGGCGAGGTATTCCGGTTGTTTGGGGGGCGGCGAGGAATTTTCAACAGGGGGGCGGCGAGGTATTCCGGTTGTTTGGGGGGCGGCGAGAAATTTATAACAGGGGGGCGGCGAGGTATTCTGGTTGTTTGGAGGGTGGCGAGAAATTCCTTTCGGGGGGGCGGCGAGCTCTTCCTCGAAGAGCTCTCCACCCCTACCCCGTGTCAAGTTTGATTTTGGCCCCGGTTGACCAATCCCTCTCCACTTTGGGATGCCTGCCTTTGGTTGCAAAGCGGAGAGCTCTTCTTAGAAGAGCTCTCCACCTTCCCTTTCCAGTAGCATTGGTTACTAATGTGCTAAGTTGGCTGGGATCACCGAAGCTAGGTATATTTGGTACTGGTTTTGAATGTTTTGAAGTACTGGCGGAGAGCTCTTCTAGGAAGAGCTCTCCACTTTGAGGATTAGATGATATTCCACAAAGTGGAGAGATATTGTTCCTACGATGTCATGATGTCTCACTTCAAGTCCTTATTCTGGACGGCGCCATTTCAGCGTCACCCAGTTGGAGTAGACAGATGTAGTATATAATATCAAAGTATGTGGGAAAGGGAGAGAAGATTCCAGCTTCAAAACAAGAAAGACATCAGGTTTAGCACCTTGGCAAGTGGTTGGTTGAAACCCCGCTGGAAAGGAAGAATGTCAGGATGAAAGCAAATTGACTTTAGCAGCAACAGCAGCGGCGGCAGCAGCAGCAGCAGGGGTTAGTGATCTAGCATTTGTGGAGGGAAAAAGACAATCAAATTACAGCACAAGAGCGTTTAAGATATTTAAAGTGGGTAAGGTTCAACTGTCTTGTTGATAGAGGAGAGATGGTTCTTTGTGGACGGGAATGAAGCGACCGGAATGTGTTTGAATGTGCTTCATATTCTGCGCAGATAAGCCATGTCTCTGCGCTATTTCCCTTGAAATGCTCAATTTTCTTTAAGTCTAAGCACAACTTACAACTGACACATGTTTAAAACTCAAAGCACACAACATGTTCTAGTTTCCGTAAAAGTATAGGCCCATTCGAACAATTTCAACACCATCACATATCTGGAACATTTGTCCCCGTTGCAGCTAAAAAGATCATATTACCGCATGCCCATGTGCTACAGGAATATCTGAAAACACCAAACATGTTGAAAACACTAACTTTTGTGAAAGTTCCTTGTATATATATACACATGGACAATTTAACCAATGAACATGGAGATTCTTTTGACATCTTTTGACAAAAGGCTTTGCGCTTTGTTCAACCTATGAAAAAATGGATTTGACCAGCATTTGGATTGATATGTGGGAAATTCTGGGGGACACATTGGCTATACCATGCTTTACCCCTGAAGGCAGTCGTTTTTGTCTGCAAGTGTTCCTTTCAACATTGGGGCTAAACATATGGTCACATATGCAGAAAAACAGGTTCAAGCAGCCAAAAAGGGTGGTTCTTAACATAACAGCCAACAATCCAGCATTATCCAAACAGATACAGTCAGATACAGCTGATGCGCAACGCAGCAGCACCTTCGCAATCCGATGTGTCCCAAAGGTTGAGGCAGCGCCAGTGGGAGCCATCAGAATTTCATCACCCCTCTGCCAGGCAGTTGGATGCTCCAGCCGTATTCGCCGAGTGCCAGCTGCAGCGCTGGCAGCCAGATATGTCCAAGACAACTTGGGCCTGCCGTGTAGTTCCAAACGCCCGGTGTTGCTCACGAACAAAACGCGCGAGAGTGCTAGTGGTGGAAAATCTGGCAAACCCGCGCGTGAAGAATCAAAAGTCTCAAGCAACTCATCAAGCCCTGATAGCCTCAGCCGAGTCGTGCCGGATCATCAAACAGAGGAAATCCAAACACACGCCCTGTGTTGAGGTCCGTTGAACACGTGACGATCAATGAAGGATATAGTTCCAACATAATTATAAATTATAACATATATGCTACTCTTCGTTCCAGCCTTTGATTATGATGTTTTTCACGTGGTTTTCAAATGCCGCCACTATGCCGCTATGTTCAGTGAACACTGCCCGCAATATGACAGGGAGTATCCCAAAGTCGTTTCCATCTGGAATTGATCAAAATTGTGTGGTTTTACGGGGATCTTGTTACCAAATTGCACATCCTGCCACCATACTGAGCTATGTTCGAGCCATACTGTCATACAGTTATCGCCGTTTACCTATTATACGTGGTTATAACTGGTTATAACTGGTTATAACTGGGATTATACCCTCTGGTAAACTAACATAACTATGGAAAATCACAATTTTTGATGGGAAAACTCACTATAAATGGCCATTTTCAATAGCTATGTTTGTTTACCGGGTATAATTCCATAAATGGGGTTGAACATTCTTATACCTGGATATCCCTGGTGCAATCCTGGTGCTAAGTCGCTGTAGCTGGAAATCTCCCACGAAGGCGTCTTCGACGCATCCGACCCACAGTTCACCATCCAGCCGTAGCAGTTGCGTTTCGATGTGCAACTGGCTCTGTAAGTCAATGACCAGCCGTTTCCCTTGGGTGCAGCCCAAAGATTTCAACAAATGCGGAAACATGTGGAAACTGGAAAACAAAATTATAGAAGACGGGAACAAGACATATCAGCATAATCATTTTTTTATTATCTACCCTCTGGCCATCAAACATGGCAATTGAAAATCCAGTGTAGCATTGTAGCTGTTTTTATCCACTAAAACTTCATCTTTCAAGGTTATTTTCAAGCCAGCCATGTTTGATAAGCATTGAAAAAAAAAACATCTCCAAATAGTACCCAGCGTCCGGGTGGTACATTGATACTTCGACTTTTGATGGAAACAGCTTCCGTTCCGCCCAGCAGGCAATCCTCCCGCAGCACCCAAGGTAGTCCCGACCTTGGTACCTGACACGGTCGCGCCACTTCGTGGGCAGGACATGCGGTGCCCGGCTGAAGGAGGGTGAGACAAACAAGCGAAAAGCAAAGCAACATGGCTGCGACATGGATAAAGCACTTCTCTGTTATATAGTAACTCAGTACAGGTACCCCCCCCAAGAAAAAGGAATTCGTAAAAGTAAAGTGTGACGATTTCAGTAGGCTCAGTAGGGTTTGATGTTCTATTTTTGTTGGGGTGACTATGAAAACAATCAACATCTGCCCAAATGATGGACCCGTCCCAGTAAGCCCAATGAAAAGCAACCGTCACTGGAGGTCATTTTCTGAACACCCCAAAGATATAATCCGTTTTATGGGTATACCCAACAAGAAACCCCAAACTTTGGGATGGATTTTAATCATCACCTTTCATATGTTTTCCATAATTATCCCATACTTAAACCATAATTACCCCTCAAGTATCCCATAATCTCAAAATCATGTCCAGTTTCTAGTGGGTTTACCAGGTTTACCATGGTTTACCACATGTCTAAGGGCAGAAATGGAACTCCACACAGCCGTCACCAAGGGACATCAGCATACTTGGGCTGCATCTTGCGGTCCCAACACAAGTTCAAGCCTGGTGCGTGCGAAAGACCCAAGGCAGAACTTGCAACGAACCGGTGGGAATGTCACTAATGTGAAACGTGGGGAAGCTGCCTCAAAGACTGGTTGGTGGTCAAACTAGCTTTATAGGGTTTATTAATGATTATAATAGTTCACTGGGGATGCCATGCAACTTATCTGGAAAAAATGCCACAATTCACTCACCTTAAAAGCCCGGCGATTCTGGGAGAGTCACCTCCACTAGCCATCATTCCAGTGACCCTACGTGAGGCTCTTATGATCTGTCTATGTGGAATATAGCAATCAATCCCCAAGAAGATACCAAAATAAGATCTGACTAAAGATAGTAGAAAATAGATCACACGTCTATCATTTTTGAGGGTTACTGTACATATGACCAATCATACTCAACACTAATCACATAATGATGTGTGTGCAATTGTGTGCAAATAGTGAATGATCATGGCTATGATTGGCACTACCGGAAGCGCGTGCCTTGGGGGTTCTCTTTCTTCAAATGCGCCATGTCCTCACGGGTCATGGAAAGTGTGATGTATTTCCGCATGGTTCCAAACTGGTTACCCTACGGTAAATTTGTACACTTTGCGAACAGGAATCGCCCTTTTTACGAACGAAATTTTATATACTTTTTGTTTGGATTGATTTATCATCGAACGATTGCGGAGCCATGGTTTCTACCTTCTGGTTAAACTAACATAGCTATGGAAGCCATGGCCCTCCACTATAGTTAACTTACCTACCAAATACCATCTGGTTATTTAACATAGCCATGGAAAATCACCATTTCAAATAGGTAAACCATCTATTTCTATGGGCCATGGCTTCCATGGCTATGTTAAATAACCAGAGGGTACCCAATACCTACAAAATCATGTGACATTCCGTAGCACAGTGTAGCAAATCACCAGTCTCTGTCTCCTCGTGAGTCTCCGGAACGTTGTACCTGACCGTGACGTCCAGCATGGTGGAAACCATAAGTCACCGTCAGGTGGCCAACCGAAAAAAAAAACGAAAAACAACAGGAGGATCTCTCAACTCATGGCACTGTAAGAGATTTTATGGTGATTAAATGGAATTTCATTAGATTTTATCGGAATAAGTTTTGTTCTTTTCGAATAACTCTGTTCTGATATTGACCTGTAAGCCAATAAATTTTAGTCGAATCTAATTCCAAGTGAGACAGTCTAGCAGCTGTTCTCCGCACCTATACTGCAAACTGTTAAATTACCAGAGGGGTAAGCAAACGCATACCAGTATTACTGCACAAGGCGGTGGCGGAAGTTTCAAAGATAGGAAACAATAGGAGCGCTTTGGTTGTTGTGACGCCTGGCTGGCAGAGCGAAGCCGCTCACGGAGCGAGAGGTGATTGAGGCTCTGAGTCTTTCATTCTCTGTCTTTGTCTCCTCTTCGTCTCTGTTTGCCTGTCTGTTTGTCTCTTTGTCCTACCCATAGGGAATATATGGATAATTATTCATAGCTCCTTAGCTCACAAGCCACCGGATAGTTACCAAAGTTGTTGAAAACTTGGATTGAAGGGGCAATAAAAATAAGGCATATCTTCCGGGCTAGATTCCGACACATTCTAGTGGATCAGCCCATGGGTAACTCACCAAAAGGTATTCATGATGGATGGCATCCCAAATTTCCATAAATTTCCATGGTCCGAGTCATGTTTCAGAGTTTACCCAGTTTACCCCCTATTTTTTACCGTTTTGGGAGGGATCTTCTTCCTGAAAATGATGACTTCTTTATTGCGAGGGTCACCTTTAGGTCGTGGTGGTTGAATCCCCATTCTTGGTAGTAAAAATGCCAATGACAAAAAAATGTTTTCAGAGATTAAATCCACATGTTGGGGGTTTCTTAAAATTGGTGATCCCCAAGTCACCATGGCTTTCAATACTAAAATGCATGATTTGAATGATTTGGGTTCCCAGCATTTTTTGAAAGCTCCATTGCTGTAACTTCTGAATAAACAAGTCCCAAGTAGAGTTCCAGTAAAATAGAAAAATATGGTACATATACTCTCCAAGTTTCGTAGGTTTTTGGCCGCCAGGCCACAAACCACACGAAAAGCCTTTGTTGCTTATGTTGGTTTGATTTTCCATATCTATAACCTGCAAAAATCAAAACAAAAAACATATCTCCAATTATTTGAGAGAGAAACCTATGGTTCTATCCCAACAAACTTCAAAAATCACGAAACCTGTGGTGTTTAGAATCCATCCCACTTTTGGGGATGGAAAATTTCCCACTCCATGCGCCATTTGCGTCTCGCACCAATCGTCCAGGATCTTCAACCCTTCCGGGGAGTTCCGTACCTCCACGGCGCAAGCCGCTTGGGGATGCTGTTGGAATGCGGTTTTGGTGGGGGATGACGCCCCTGGTTTTGATGGGGGCAACACAGCAAGCTATCAATCAATAAAAATTGGGCTTCACTCAACAAATAGGAAGTTCATCGCTTCGGTTTGTGAAAATCAAGATCCAAAGAATCCGGGAAAGGGGGTGAACACATGGTGTTTCTACAATCCAACATTGCTCTGCTCCCTTTTCATGCGGTTCGCATCGGTTCGCTAGCCTGTACCTGAGCTCCAAGATATACGGAATATACGGTGATGTGTTGGAATTAAAACCATTTAGAAGAAAACGAAGCCGACTTCAGAAATGTGTTGCACATGGAATGTGAATCCTTTTCTGCCAACAAAATTTTGATCTTAGACTTAACTATGTCATGTCTGTACACATGTGAAATCTAAAAATACAGCCTCACTTGTGTTATAGGTACCTATGGGGCATAGCGCGCGTGCGCGTGAAACTATACTCACTCCCTCCTCTCACTGAGATACCGTGGGGGTACAGTTGGGTTAATGGGTACAATTATCACCATAATATGGATTTTTTGAAGCTCCATCAGTTGGAAAATAACCATGGTAAAATCGAACCCAGCGACAGTTACAGCCATAGTTCTATGCTTTTACCAGCGAACTAAATCTGCCCTCCAAAAGGTCGCCCAGAAATGAGGACACCAATGGGTGGGCCCCAGTCATGGTAGCTCTGAATAACTTTGAATCACTAGGCCACATTAGATCCTAAGCTTTCTCACGATGAAGAATCCACCATTGATGAAGTCCTGCTGGTCTTTCCGAAGGCCCTCTTCCATGTGATACTCCTGGCGACCAGGCTGCAGTTCCACTGCAGTTTTTCTTGCGGAACTGATATTTCACCATAGTTTTTGTTGTGGAACCAAAGCTATTTTGGAATATAATTCCTCAATAGTTGGAATAGTGGTAATTAACCATTAACAGCAACATATATTTAACACATGAGTTGGGCTTTGACCCCTTACCCTCCAGCAATGTAACATGGCTTGGAAATTCTCAGGAAATATGGGAAAATCCGACCAAATGGTGGAATTTCCAATAACCAGATAGTGTCGCCGCCATGTTGGTTGGTGGGGATTGGTAACTAAATATATGTGAAAATGTTGGTTTTAGACGGAAACATTGAATCATATTTAAATTTCATAAATCTATATTTTGTTCACGTCATTCACGACATTTTCCGAAACTGACCAAACATGAATGAAAAAAACATCCGGGCAATGGGTGAACAGATATGCTTGGAAAAATTGCTTCAGAACCATCCCGACTTGGAACATGATCAGGTACTTTTTTCCTTCCCTCAATTTTGAAACAACACCAAGAAATTTCCCAGATCCAGCGCACGGAGCCTGTGAAAAGAGGATCTGCCTCCAGGGAAGCTTGGCATTTTGTGAGGGAAACAGGTCTGGATACCCTCTGGTAAACGTTTACAGTTTGCGAACTGGAAGCCATGGCAATTGAGGTCGTTGATTTACCCATTACCCTCTGGTAAACTAACATAACTATGGAAAATCACCATATTGAATGGGCAAATCAACTCTAAATTGCCATTTTCAATAACTATGTTAAATTACCAGAGGGTAATAGCATGGTGATTTAACCATGCAGTTGTTGGAAAAATGTTTGCCAGAGGGTAATGTGGGATTCACCCTAGTCACCATAGTCACCATCCCCGATGGATGGTATGTGGATGATGTTCATGATGAGATCTCGTGAAAAAATCATTCCAGTCCATCAATTCAGAGACTTCAACAAACGAAATGGTGGTATAATGGCGATGTTATGGGGATCATCTCATTATCATGATATATGACTTATATAGATAATATACATGATACTTACTAGATTATGCAGATAATATAGTATATATATGGGGGTTGTCCAAAATACCGTTTCCCGGACAGCCCTCAATCGCTCAGCCAATCGCGTAGCAACCGCGGTACCACAGTGAGCAATCGCGGAAGGGTTTGTTCTTCGTTGATCAGATCATATACATAAAATATAAGTTATGTATAATATAATGAATCGTGACAAAAAATTTATTCTAATTCTTTGTAATATCATTGCTTTTCTGCTGAATTTAGTAGAAGTAGTAGTAGTAGTAGAAGTAGTAGTAGTAGTAGAAGTAGTAGTAGTAGTAGGAGGGGTAGGAGTAGGAGTAGGAGTAGGAGTAGGAGTTCTAGTAGCAGGGCAAAGAGGGAGGGAAAGAGAGAAAGAGAAAGAGAGGGAGGGAGGGAGGGAAACAGGTGGTTGCGTTTGGCCGGTTTCTGACGGGTTTCTGACTGGTTTCTGACTGGTTTCTGACCCTTCAGCGGGACTCGTGTCAATTGGATTTAAAAGCAAAGGCAGAAATTCCTAGGTGTACTAGTGGTAGTGGTGGTGCAGTAGCAGCGGGTGTGGTGGTAGTACTAAGAGTAGTAGCAAGTCTAGTAATGAGAGTAAGGATCCATGCGTGAACGCATTCGATTTCAAATTTGGGAGCAAAATAAGCTTGCGCGGTCCGGAAACGGTCCGGAAAACTCACAGTAGTACCAGCAGCACTAGCAGTAGCAGTAGCAGTAGCAGTAGTGGTAGTGGAAATTGGAATAGGAGTAGGCGTAGGAGTTCTGGTAAGAGGGTGAGGGAATAGGCAAGGGAGAGAGAGAGAGGTTGCGTTTGGCCGGTTTCTGACTGGTTTCTGACTGATTTCTGACCCCTCAGTGGGACCTTTGTCATTTGGAAAAAAAACAAAGGCAGAACTTTCGAAATGTAATAGTGGAGACTGCCAGTATAATGCCACTATATATCTTGTAATAGCTTCGGATATCTTACCATCCTCCTTACCGATCACCAGCCCCGTTCTGTTTTCGACGCATTCCTTTAGGGGTATGCATTAAGTTGCGCAGGGCCCTGGATCGCTCCCCCAAGAATACGTCCGGTCCGGGGTACACCCGCTTCTGTTGGTGGAACCGCTTAAAGTGATCGGCAGGAGCTACTTATAGTTATAGTAGTAGTAGTAGTAGTAGTAGCAGTAGCAGTAGCAGTAGCAGGAGTAGTAGTAGTAGTAGAAGTAGTAGTAGTAGTAGCAGTAGCAGTAGCAGTAGCAGTAGTAGTAGTAGTAGTAATAGTAGTAGTAGTAGCAGTAGTAGTAGTAGTAGAGGAGTAGTAGTAGTAGTAGTAGCGGTAGTAGTAGTAGTAGTAGTAGTAGTAGTAGTAGCAGTAGCAGTAGTAGTAGTAGTAATAGTAGTAGTAGTAGCAGTAGTAGTAGTAGTAGAGGAGTAGTAGTAGTAGTAGCGGTAGTAGTAGTAGTAGTAGTAGTAGCAGTAGTAGTCGTAGTCGTAGCCGTATAACCAATCGCCAACCAATCGCTCAGCCTATCGCGATGCAGGCTTTGGCAATCGCGCAAAGCAGAGTAAACGCATCAATTCATAAATTTGTTATCTGCATTTACGGACGGCTCCCATATATATATGTAGAATATACATATATATATATATATGCAGATAATCTACTATGGGATTTTTAGATGATTTACCCATGAAAAATTGTTAATATGTAATGCGACTACAACAATTTACAACAATGTCATGTTTAGCATCCCCCAGTCATCAGCATTTTTATAGGTGGTTTTTGAACCTTTCCCAAATGAGGTGGTTTATGACATTGTTTTACCCACATTGATCTGTGTCATGCCCCACTGGTAAACTAACAGTTCGCTATGAAAAATCACCATGTTTAATATGTAAATCAACTATCAATGGCAATGGCTTCCAGTTCGCAACCTGTGAGTTTACCAAAGGGTAACCACCATGAATACTATAGTACATACTATAGTTTTATCCCCCTAAAGTAAACCCTTTAAATCAGGTTGATTCTGGATGATCCTATCTACTTCAGGATTCTTATAATTACTTACAATATATCCTGAAATATGTCTATACTATCCATGATTAACCATTTATTAACCTAATATCTACAGTATATCAATGTCTTGCTTCCGAGCCACTTGTCCTCGTGCATGCCATAATCTTCCACGATGGCGCTCAGCGACTCCGAGGTGCGAATAAAGGCGTCCTCAGTGCATTTTGTCGGCCTCAAAAATTGGAACAAACGTGTAGGATACCCTCCAGTAAACTCACAAGACTATGGGAAATGCATTGTTTATAGTGATTTTAACGGGATTTATCGGGTTTAATGGGTTTTTAATGGGACTTACAGGGATATAATGGGATTATAGGGGGAAATGATGAGATATACCCTCCAGCAAACTAACATAGCTATGGAAAATGGTTCATGTATAGAAAATTTACCTATCAAAATGGAGATGTTCGACACTTATGTCTACCAACGAAATACATGAAGATAGTGGTTTTAAACTTATATTATATACCGTACTACCTCTTCTATGAATTTCAGGTGTTCTCTTTTGCTGAACTGTTCTATCTATGTTTGGATTTGTTATGATGGAAAGCCTTCAGTATCGGCCCTGATGATCTTGATCCCTACATATCTGGTGAGGTTTTTTCACATAATTTCCCACCCTGAAAAAAATCACGAACACTTGAAACATATTTCGGCTTGTGAAAGTTACCCTCTGGTAAACTAACATAGCTATTGAAAAATTGCCATTTATAGTGAGTTTTCCCATTAAAAAAAATGATTTTCCATAGTTATGTTAGTTTACCAAAGGGTATACCACGTATCAAAAAAAACATCCCCAACCACCCCAGGTACACGTATTGGGCTGGTTCGGGGACGCGAGAGGTCAGCCCGTTGCTCCCAAAGAGGGGTGCCGGAATTTCTCGCCGTTTGCGAACTGGAACATGACTATTTTAAATGGGTAAATCATCTAAAAATCATGGCTATATAGTCATCTATAAATAGTTAAACCGGGAGTTTTTACTGTTTATAGTTGTATAATTTATATTAATGGGTAAAACATGTATAAATCATCTATAAATTATGTAACTATAAATATTGACTACAAATAAATGGCAATGGTCATTCAATTTTCTTCCATTTTCTATAGCAAACTGATGAATTACCAGAAGCTATCCGAGATCTTCAGTGGCTCCAACATCTTCAACGATGACTTAAAGATTGTCAAACCACCCGTTCCTTAAAAATGGTGATTTCAGCGACAAAAATGCATATATGATGGGGATAAATGATGATAAATCTGCCCATTTATAAATGATTTACCTATAAAGAATGGTTGATATATATATATATATATATTTGCCAATGATTGCCTCTCTTTATCAAAACCCCCATAATCTCCAATAAACAAATAATTGCCAACTAGTGATATTTCTATCATAATCCCCATAACCCCCAATCAACCCCCAATCAATCCCCAATCAACCCCAAATCAACCCCCAATCAATCCCCAATAAACATCAATAAACAACTTACGGTCAGCATCCCACCAATCTCTCCATTGCCAGTCTCCCTCCACGACGGACCGAGGTGCCGAGTCCAAGGACACCCCGAAGTTACAGCGCTCGGGCCCTCGCTCCCGCAAGGCATCATGGATGACCTTCACTTTGGCCCAACCTGGCGTCAACCCGGGAACTTTTGGTGGTAGAAAAAAGGCTGTGAAAATGGTGATTCTATGGGATTTGAAGATATGTTGATGGGATTTTACGGATTTTTACGGTGATTTAGTGGGATTTGATGATATTTTGATGGGATTTCATGGTGATTTGATGATATTTTGATGGGATTTCATAATATGATGTTGATGATATTTCCTGCTGATTTGATGGGACTTGATGAAATGCTGATGGGATTTAATGGGATGTTGATGGGATTCAATGGTGATTAATAAGATTTTGGCTGGCATCCATTCCATTAAGCATCAGGAAATCTGTGAATCTCTTCCTGGGTTCAAGTGGAGGTTGTGAGGTTCAACTGGTCACCTGAAGCGATCTGAAACCCACCACTTTCCTCAAGGTGTCCAGTCCCCCAGCGCTGGTCCCCTCAGAGGTTCAGACCAATCTTTCTGTCGGGATAGTGAAGGACAGGATCCGGCTGAACCTAAGCAGTTCGCCTTGGGAAAAAAAACACTGGCTATCCTTAACTTGGCATGTACCTTGGAGTAATTTTACCATGGCGCCATGGAAAAACCGCCAAGTTTCAAGACCTGATTATGTTTATCCCGGATATGTTCCTATATTAATTATTAACAGCTGGGATTTTAATGGATTTTCCCATTGTCATGTTCAAAAACGTGGTACTGTCACTCGATTTTCCTGGACCCCGGTTGATTCATACGGGGTGATTTTGATCAAGGCCCCTTTGGCCAGTGTTTGTGGGCTTAGTTCACCAAGAATAAGCCTACTGAGGGGACTAGGCTAATTCACCAATTCATATCCCCGGATTAAGCCCTAGTTTATCATTGGTAAAGGGGAACATGGTTATTTTGGGGGCGCACCACAGGCTAGGTTGCCCTGACATAATCGATCTCGTAGCCATGATCCTGCGCATAGGCCCAATTGATGCCGTACGACAAGGTCCAATACCTGGACGATTTCGAGTCACGTTTCTTACGTTTGTTTAACAATATGTTGCAAATGTTGAATATGGTGAATTCATCATCAACAATTTGGGCATTAATGCGTTTTTTGGGTGGAAATTTAAGAGGATACAATGGGGTGTAACTGGGAGATGGCGGGAGTTACAATGGGAAAAGTTCGGATCCCGGATAGGACATGTTTCGGTGCATTCTTCAGCCACAAAAGCACAGCTCAAGCTTGACAAAACGATTCTGAACCACCAGAAACGATCAATACTGGCAGAGCAGCTAGGTCGTAAATAGGGGGCTTAGTTTCCCACTTCCAAAGCCACAATTGGCAATTTACAATAGATAGATAGATAGATAGATAGATAAATAGATAGATAGATAGATAGATATAATTAAATATATATATATAATTAAATATATATATATAATTAAATATACATATGTATAATTAAATATATATATATATACAATTAATTAAATATATATATATACAGATGCTCACCCACCCCCCTATATATATATATACAGATGCTCACCCACCCCCCTATATATATAGACATATAAAGATAGACACACACAAACATCATATAGTATAGTAATATATATATATATACATAATATATCTCACCTTCAAAGGCATGTTTATTGGACATATACAACCAGCCAAACACCAAACACACACACACAGACACAAATAGTGGGTCAAAAATTTCACGCACCAATCATTCAACACAAAGATTGACAAAGATTTTGGTCATGTTCCATTGAGCACCCTTTTCTTTGAGAATGTCGACCCAGATCCATCTGGAAAACCTCCGTGGTTGGATTTTTTTGTAGCAGCTCCGATTGGCTTCCAACTTCTTACACAACCTCAGCCCCGATCATAGTTTCCTCCATTCACCACAGAAGTACAGTAGTTGCTAGTTAAAATAAGATATTAAAGCACCTATTGATTGACTATTCTCTCTCTGCAGTTGGTTGGTCATAATAGCCCCGTTTGTTTGTGATATTTTATGATATGTTATGATGTTTATACTCCATGAAAGTGGCACCTATATCCCCATAGTCACCTCTCTGGCGGGTGACGCAGCTAATCCCTTGCCCCTTTCAATACTTAGATAATCTGACTTAATAACTGCTTAGGGGACTTCCTGGGTAATTGACCAGTTGCGATTCGTATGATCCACCAAGCATGAAACACCCCCAAACAAAAGATGCTTTAGTAAGTCGAGTAGGGGATTTGCCCGCATATTTGGGATCACTTATGGGTGGTTGATATGAGGATTGGATTGTTCATAACCCATGTTTTATTGTGATAACATGTGATAACATGCGGTAACATGTGATAACATGTGATAACATGTGATAACCCAGCGTCAGTATTATTGATAATAATGAAAAACAGTTAGAATAGTCACCCTCTGGGAACATAGCTCTGGAAAATCACCCATGTCATCAATATTTTAAACAGGTCATCAATGGCCATGGCTTGTATCCGTTGGAAAACGTCACGCAGTGCCTGGCATTCAGGATGGAGGTGATATTCCTCAATGAAGACCTGGTCAAGCAAGCGCGCCCGGCGGCAGACATGGTGAAACACATGGCTATGCCTGGAAATGATCTGGTTATACCCCGAAATTCATGGAGAAACTGTGGAAGGTTATGATCACTCTCCATCAATGTCAGGTCACCCCTGCCCCAACTGTGATCAACCACTCTCTCATCTTATTCTGGGACGAATTGCTGTATTTTGAGAGGTGGATTCATCAGAGAAGTTCCTGATTTGCGGGCGTTAAGAATTGTATAAAGTCATATCGATCACAGACCCATTCTGATTGATGCTGTGATTGTTAACTGTATCCATATGCTTCATCTGTCGATCTGCCTTAAAGCCCTTCAATAATTCCACACTTCACGCTCCATGGTTTTCCATGGTTTTCCATGGTTTTCCCATGTTGAGACTGCAAGGATTTGGACAGACCATTCCCCAGTCGTTGCCTCCGCCGGTTATCTACCACGAAGAGGCAAAACGTGGAGTTCCTGGCAATTCGGAAGGCTACAAGGTGAGGCCCCCCAAAAAACGATAGCTAAGAGACAAGTTGACGCAAATAATTTGATTAACTATCTTAACTGTCTTAACTATATAGGCAACTGAAGGGTTCATGGCGGAATATGACCACAGTATTCATGGAGTAAAAGGCCCAAAAAACATTTCACCGGGGCTGCTTCGGCCAGCTGTTACACACCAACCATCATCTAAGTCGGCCTGAAGTCTTGCGTGAAGACAATCTCGCACTCACAGGTGCGTGGGTTGGGCCTTGGCTGAACACAGGACCTATTAGACCTCTTTCATCCTATTTCCTGAAACATGTACCATCTTCAAAGAAAGCTTCCTGAAACATGTGCCCTTTGACGAAAAATATGGAACTTCCAATCACCTCCGAATCTATGCATGGCTAGTCTTTCAGGCTAGCCAACGAGCCAACGAGCCAGCGGCTTTTTGTGGCTTTGAGGAGATTCTCTTGCCACAGAAATGGGAGTCTGTGAAAAACGACAAAAAAGGTGTGGTAATATAATATGTAGTTGAAAACTAATTTGTATGATGACATATATAACTATATTTAATTTTAATTTTCTGGGGCTTTTTTGATCATGTTCGGAGGCTCTGACTCTATGTAGAGCTCATTGGCCCCCAATCTAAGGGGGAATATCTATTCAAACCAAAGCTCCTCTTAGCTCCCCGTAGCTCCCTCCATTCACCACCGGATTACATGGCAATTTGACACCCATTGTCTGGCTAGCATCATGAATATCAGCCAAACCTACTTGGGCTTATAAATCTTGACTTTTCCTTCATTTTCAGCAGGTAAAAACCCTCAAACATGGAACGCCCCCGCTCCCTCCGGTCAAAAATGGAACTTCTCCGAACCCAGCCATAGCTCCAGACTTCGAGGCTTCTCCCAGACTACAAACCTCCACCGTCGATCACCAAGAGGCGTGAGCTCCTCTTTGCACCACAAGAGGCCGCAAGAGCCAAGGGTGGAGCGACCGTCCTTATCATCCTCGGCTCCAGGCGCCATGGACTGTGGAACTTTCGCCGTGGGATAGGAAATGATAGATAAAAACTCTGATGTGAGAGAATTGTCACCATAAATTTGGTAGTATTAAGTGGTTTAATCCTGAACATATGGCAAAGTCCACAAAAAATATAATATGAATTAAAGTGATGCAACCCACAAAAAGTTGGAATTTTGGCTGACTTCACCCTCACAATAAGGAACATTCACTCAGAAATTGGGGATCTAAAATGATTTGACCAATACATGCAGAGAAAAGATATGGAAGAAACCAATGGTTGTGGGGAAATAGCCCGGAATATATTGGAAACCGTGAAAGGGTTGGACATTGGAATTTTGCGCCGCCATTCAAGGGCGGGTTAACCCCTGTTACAATACCAATGCTCCCATCCCTGGCTAAAATCCTCATGATAGTTGGTATCTATCATTCTTTTCAACCATCAACCCTTAGTAACTAATAGTAGCTTCATGAAATCTGCCTCTGTTCCATCCATTTTACAGGAAAAAGTTGGCTCCTGGGCCAAAATCGCCAAGTCACAACTCGAGTTGCCAGTTCGGCACTGATCTTGAAGAATTCCCTCAGTTCTCTCGTGGAAGCTATGGACAAGGCCACATTTCAACGGATTGGTTTAAGGGAACTTTTACGGGAAACCATGGTTTTTACTTTCAATTAGAAGGGTTTCCGGTTTCAATTTTCCCTCAAACGAATCCATTGAACATTTGCTTGGATGATATGATGATACCTAGGAACTTGTTCCACATGTTCGATTGCCAGACTAACGATCTTCATGATAGAGCTGCAGTTAAGATTTCCAGGATGATTGGCGATTTAATCTTAAGTACCTATAACTGGGGGCAATTCGGGAGCAATATGATAAAACATCTATATATAGCAATTCTTGTGAACAGTCCTGGTGGTTGAAGTCTGAGAATTTTCTGCTCGTCCTACCAGGTTGGAAAATAGAAAAGCAGTATTTCAAAGCACCAACGAGCATATGGTGGTAGGTTGTCATCATCCTGAATATCCCTGAATTCAGCTGAGGGAAAAGCAAACAAAATCTGAACCGGAAACTATGGTCGATTTTACCGCTTTTACCGTTCAAATATAGAATTATAGAGTTTCCGGTGCATTTTCCCTTCAACATCCTTCAACCGAATATAAAGGAATAATTATCGAACTGTGTGTTTTTTCCCCGCCCTCGACATATATGAAAAATCTCGCAGAGATTCAATGGATTGGTTTTGTTGGGAGCATCTTAACAGGACATCATGGTTTCTAACACCTCCCATCCCAACTTTGGGAACTGCATATTTCTAAACCCCCGGTTACTTAACACAACCACCGTATAGATGGCCCATAGAAATAGATGATTTGTGATGATTTACCTAGATATTTCACCAAGAAAAACCTATACATTCCCCAATTTCGGGTGGATTTTTCCATTGGAAAAAAACCAAAAAAAAACAACGACGGCGAACAGTTGCCCTTCGCCAAACCTAGGCCCACTTTTTTCAAAATTCCTGGTCCCAGATCAGCCCTGGTCCCGGACCACTTGGACAACATCAAGTTGGCCAAGGTGTAGTTGTTCTTCTCTTGGTACCTCCTGAGCGGCGCTGGGACCAGATGCTGAGTCATGAGCTGCTGGCTAGCTGGGTGAACTATGGTTTATGGTGAGCATAAGTGAGTATAACTATAGTTAAATTATAGTTAGATGGGTTTAGAAACAATCTTAGAACTTAGAACATCTTAGAACTAGGGTGTCCCACCCTTGTGCAGTGTCATGCCGATGTCCTGCAAAACAAAGAAGGTGCCACTTCACTGAGCTAAACCGACTAAAGTTGTCAAGGGGAAACCCACACTGTGGGGTAATGGTTAGTGGACTTTGTGAATGATGTCACCGTCGTCGCCTAATGTCCTGAGTTGCCTTCCATCGCAAGCACGCTGAAACACCGAGAGGTCGTCGCATTCGAAACGATGAATTCTGGAAGATCGAAAATCCAACCTGTCGGAATATACTTAAACAACCTGAGGAGAAAAGCTTGTTCAAGCGTTCAAGCAGGTACGTGAAAACGGCGTCCCGTTTTCATATCACAGGAAAGAGTCAATGTCTTCGTTGGTGCCAGCTTCACTCCAACCTCTGGCACCCCCTGCTTCATCTTAACCTGAAACCTAAGAAGCATACCTGACAGAATGCGTACCTAGCCTGAAAGGAACCTAATGATGATGACAGGTGGGGTGAAAGATCTCCAGGGACCGATGTATCGAAACATGATCAATTCGTCAAAACTAAACCGTTTGCTATAACGGTATACACACACACAATGGCCCCGAAATGGGACAAACCGCAAAGAACTTATTATTACCTGGCGCATCTGGAAATCTCCTGATGAGATAACGGACAATGAAAGCTACGGCACAGAATTACAAGTTCTGATTAGTGCGCTTCTTGTCTCAGGTTGTCTCATATCTTCCATGGAATATTGCAGTTGTATTTACGGAAAGAGGCCCACTCGTGTAGAGCTTAGGGTCGTCTCAAAAGCTCCATCATGTTCCCAATCGTTTCTGACGAACTTAACCTACAACCTAAACCCTAAGAAGCCTACCTAACAGAATGAATACCTAGCCAGAAAAGAACCTGATGAAGATGACGGGTGAGGCGAAACAAGACACATTTGAACCGCTGGGAGTCAGACCAAACTGAACTTTCATTGCACTCATAGTGCTGATAACTTCGACTTATGTCTACTTTGCCCAAATTGGACTAAACTTCTGCCCTATGGCTTCTTCGCCTTATGGCTACTGCGATTAGATTTTACTGTGTAAAATCTTGACTTCGTCACATGACGCTTGGCATGCACTCTGAGCGCATACGGCTTCGGAGATCCATTCTCCATTCTACATACGGGAAAATGCCCGCTCGTCACTTTCTGATTGGTTGTAACCAACCGACGGTGTGACCAAGTCAGGTCCAACACCTATGACACACTGTGGGGTAATGGTTAGTGGACTTTGTGAATGATGTCACCGTCGTCGCCTAATGTCCTGAGTTGCCTTCCATCGCAAGCACACTGAAACACCGAGAGGTCGTCGCATTCGAAACGATGAATTCTGGAAGATCGAAAATCCAACCTGTCGGAATATACCTAAACAACCTGAGGAGAAAAGCTTGTTCAAGCGTTCAAGCAGGTACGTGAAAACGGCGTCCCGTTTTCATATCACAGGAAAGAGTCAAGGTCTTCGTTGGTGCCAGCTTCACTCCAACCTCTGGCACCCCCTGCTTCATCTTAACCTGAAACCTAAGAAGCATACCTGACAGAATGCGTACCTAGCCTGAAAGGAACCTAATGATGATGACAGGTGGGGTGAAAGATCTCCAGGGACTAGAGACTGCTTTGAAGCGATGTATCGAAACATGATCAATTCATCAAAACTAAACCGTTTGCTATAACGGTATACACACACACACGCACATCTTTGTTGCTTGGCAGCCGGTATTTCCCCATGTGCAGCGCGAATCATCATTTCAAAACATCTCAAACGATGGCAATACCAAGCAACAAACATGCAACCTCGACAGTGGGTAACAATATCAACCAACAATAATTTTATGTGCTATGTGTTGGAAAAAACCAACCAACATTACCCCTGGGCAATTCAACATAGCTATGGAAACCATGGACAATCTAGTTCGATGATTTTCCCGGGTTTTTCACCTCCACTTTTGATGAGGATTTTCTTTTGCCCTCCATGTTTAAGGACACTGGAGGGCACCCGACTATCATATCGAGTTGGTCTTGGTATCCCAAAAAGATATCCCATCGAAATAATATATCATATATGAATCGTATCCCTATATTGGTTGGTCATATCCGCATTTAGGTCCATGACTTACCGTCGGGTAAACTAACAGAACTAACATGTTTTCTACAGATATTAGATCATGTTCCGAAATTTCCGGGAGACCATTGGGTTTTCAACATCTAGGTATCAGTGGATTGGTTTTGTTGGGAACATCTTAACCAGAAACCATAGATCTTCCCATCAAATGTGAGGGTTTCCTACAATACCTCCCTACCGCCCAGGTGAGACCGGTGACCCCGTGAAACCTCAACATCTGCTGCGCCGCATCGAGCAGGCTGCCCGAAAACCTCAGGTTTCACCGGCGAGATGATGCGAGAGTAGTCAGGAAATATATGATCAACCATCCTACAAGTGGGGGTGATTGCGGATTCATTATCAGTGCCTGTAATTGGGAGAAATAGATGAGATGAGTCCCATCCCCGGAAACGGGCAGTATCAAATACGCTATCAAATATGCTCATATGGGCCCCGAATCGCTGCGAACACCCAATACAGAAACAGAAGTTGTTTTATAGGAACTTTACAAAAATTAGAGTGAAGATGAGTGAAGGGATTAATGGGAGGGTCGGGTTAACCATCAACCATATGTGGGTTTGACATCTTTCAACAATCCTGACACGGGTATACATAGCGAAAATGGTTGGAATGATATTTGAATGATATAATACATAAATCAAAGATTCGGACCCTGCCAACCCCGAAAAAAAAATAAATATACAGTAATATACAGGTAGGTCGGTCCAATACATCGATTTGTCTGAAAATGGAAAACCCCTAAATCCAGTGGTTATTAATCGCTATTTTCCATATTAATACATTAAATGGCTATCTGGGAGGTATACCCCATTTGCAGCAGTTCTTTAGGAAAAACCCTTCGCAGGAGCTTCCGGGAACAAACATCCCCCGTTTGCTCCAGGAGAAAACAGCGGATTTCCAACAAAAGTTCCATGAATATGTTCAAAAAAAACATAAATAAAGAATATATTTCTGAAGCAGGTCCTCAAAAAGAAGCAATAGCTTTCAAGCCCACCCTACGATAAAATCGAAGTTCAAATAACCCGGCGGAGCCGACCATGAGCGTCAGCTCTAAAAAAAACGTGTGTGTGTGTAACATCTGAATAGGTGAAAAACTTCTGTCATACTTCTTCTTTTTTATATATATCGCGGGGGGTCACCGGGGTCCCTGGGGGTCGGTGACCAACGAAGACACCTCCCCGGGACCCGTGAAAACGTACCCGCAGGACTTCGGTGGTGCACCTGGGCGCATTTAAGTCGCAGCTGGTGGCCACCGTAGTCCTATATCTATATATATATATATACCAGTAGTACCGCACAGGGCGGTGGCGGAAGTTTCAAAAATAGGAAACCTATAGGAGAGATTGGTTGTTGTGAATCACGGATGGCAGAGCGAAGCCAATGATGGACCGAAAGGTGGTTGAGGTCTCTTCTCTTTCTCTCTCTTTCTCTGACCATCTACCTACCTACCCATCTATCTATCTATGCATCCATCTCTCTCTCTCTCTCTCTCTCTCTGTCGTGTACTGCAGTGTGGTGTAATTAGTGTAGTGTAGTGTAGTGTAGTCTTATATAGTTGTAGTTGTAGTTAGTGTGACGTAGTGAAATGTAGTGTAGTGTAATGTAGTGTAATTGAGTGTAGTGTAGTGGAGTGTAATGGAATATAATGTAGTGGAATGTAGTGTAGTGTAGTTGTAGTGTAGTTGTAGTGTAGCGTAGTGGAGTGTAGTGTAGTGTAATGTAGTGTAGTGTGGTGGAATGTAGTGTAGTGTACTGTAGTGTACTGTAGTGTAATGCAGTGTAGTGGAGTGTAGTGGAGTGTCATGTATTGTAATGTAGTGTAGTGGAATGTAGTGTAGTGTAGTGTAGTGCAGTGTAGTGTACTTTAGTGCAGCAGTGCAGTGCAGCGCAGCAAAGTGCAGTGTAGTGTAGTGTAGTGTAGTGTAGTGTAATTGAGAGTAATTGAAAGTAATTGAATGTAGTGTAGTGGAGTGTAGTGGAGTGTAATGTAGCGAAGGTGTAGTTGTAGTTGTAGCGTAGTGTATTGGAGTGTAGTGTGGTGTAGTGGTGGTTGTGGTTGAAAATGCTACAAAACCCTCACGTTTTTGCTCACTTTTGAAGAGGTGCACAATCCCTTGCGCCTGCCACGCGAAAGACATCTGAACCTCCAAAAGTGGTCCGAACCCCTAGTGCTTTGTACATTTTCACTTCGCAATGTGCTTCGCGCCACAACGGCGTGCACTTTTTCGACATCTGAACTTCCAAAAGTGGTGCCAGGCTGCGGTGTTTTGTACATTTTCACTTCGCAATTTGCTTCGCGCCACAACGGCGTGCACTTTTTCGACATTGCAACTTCCAAAAGTGGTCCGGACATGGTGTGTTTTGTACATTTTGACGTCGAAATGTGCTTCGCGCCACAACGGTGTGCACTTTTTCGACATCTGAACCTCCAAAAGTGGTGCGAGGCTGCGGTGTTTTGTACATGTTCACTTCGAAATGTGCTTCGCGCCACAATGGCGTGCAATTTTCATCTCTCATCTGGCCAGCTGG